AACCGGTTTACAAGTTCACGTTAACTGTGTTCCGTATTGCCTAGTAACATTTTTATTCAACTAATGAATTAGTGAAATATAAATATAGCAACTACACTCAGTGTCTTACTCTGTAAACCGTGTCCGTATTTATTAATAGTCGATATGAAGCTAGAACAAATATAGATAGAGAATAATATGAACTCCTTATAATCCATGGAATGAACAAGTAATAAGATGGATTATGTAATAATTCATTTCACTTTTAAAATTTAGTTACCGACTTATTCCAGCACCCTGTCACTTAATCCTCTGTAATTATGTGACCTCTGCAAATTGTAATCAATTATTACGTAACCCAAGTTTTCAGTTCTTAAATCCACGGATCATTTACAAGCTATAAGATTTTCACACCACTTATCTGTCTGTGAACTCCAGTCCACTATTACACCACCCATTCTTAATGTGTTATTGACTGTATAAAAAAATGACCTTTGACCTTAAACTGCACATAGATATATATATATATATATATAGTCATTATTGATAACCTACTTCATTTCAATTATTCATAGTCAGGTATGTCAACTGTTTCCCACATCACTGTTAAATCCTAATGCATATTTAGTTATAATGAATGCATACCACTGTTAATCAACATTTCTCCTGGTTTCATTTTAATTCATAAGCGGAACTAACCACATGAAATTAAAATCTTAGCTACTGATACGATTTTAATTATAAACGTAATCCGACGAAGGTGAATATGATATGTGGGTGCCTAATCTGCAAGACTGTACGGGGATGTAGGGTTTCTTAATCATTCTTAATTATTACAAACAGTTACACATGAACGTCATTGCTATTCATTCCCATGAAAGTAGGAATAAGATGAAAATTAAAATTATGAAAGTTTATTGAATAATCATTGCAGCTAAAGCAGAAAATCAAGTTTACAAGTTAGTATTAAGAATTCTTAAGTAATAATTGTCCACTTTCTTCTCAACTTCCGTTGTGAAACGTTCACCATACTTCTCAATGATGCGATGCTTATGGATTCTTTGGCTTTGTTGAATACTTATATACACTTCACTCCGTCGTGGCAATGCAGTTAATGTATAATTTTGGAAGTTCTGGGTATTATGTAACTTCCATCTGCTACAATACCTAAGAAGTTGATGAGCTATGCAGTTAGTATTTCACAATTGATATAGCTTACCTGTAAGATTTCGTCTTTTAACGTAGGCAAGTAGCATGTGACGGAATATCTACATTGTAAAATACAACGATAAACATGTTCACTTTTTATTATTAGTATTATACGTAGAATCAATGCACACAACTTCTGGATATTTTCTGTACAGTTGTATTTGGTTAGAACTACTGAAACATATTCTAGTGGCATATCCATTTTCTAAATGTTCCTTCACTTCGCCTTTCTAAGCATATCCATTATCTGGTTCCGAGTAAAACAACCTGAAATATATTTATATACACTTACCAGTGGAGAGTGTAGCTTTCATATCTTTGACATCGGCAGCAGTTACTTGCTTACCAGTTCTCTCCTTAATGCTTTCGATAACTTCATCTGCTGACTCACAGTGAAGTATTACGGGCTTCAAGTTCTCTTTTTCTTCTGACGATAATCTCCTTCTCCATGGATCACATACCATCCATGAACTACTACATGGATGATTGTGGAGCATGTTGTAGGATTTGATGACATATCCTTGCTCCTCTAGTCTTACACGAAATTTAGATTGACAATTACGGAATTTAGACCTTAAACATAAGATATTAGTTAAAGATCTTACGACTTTTGCCTCACTTTCAAACCTTCCGATTTCCTCTTATGACCAAACGTACAATTAAACGATACAAACAGGTATTTGAACCTGACATCCTTCAGCAATCTGCTTTCTGTGTGGATGTAACGAGTATAAGTAGTCTGAGAAGCGATAAAATTATAATTCCATACTTTTTGGAACTCTTTTAAGGCGCTTTCAAAATCATCCCACAACACGAAACGCTTGTTCAGTATCATACTTCGAAAGGCATCGGCTAGGTCGACTGAAATGTCACTTGAGCATGAAGCACTAAAAACAGAAATGACCAATTGTTAAAAGGTTATTCCTTGCAACAATAATAACCCAAGGAAATACTACAAATACTTAGGATTTACCTGTGACTTGACATTTCGTTGAGCTTTACTACAGTTGTTCGGATCAAAGATCAAATTACAAAGCAGCAACAGAGCCAAAGTGTACACTACAAAATAGAGGACGCTAAATTAATGGTTTTGGTATTTATTTCGTGCTTTTTTATGTAGCATAAGATGACTTATATATGAAAAAAACTTGATACTCATGCAATCCAACCAACCCACGGCAATTGAAATACGGAATGACCGCCTCTAATCAAGCCGTTCAAGGTCGTTGAAACGAAGGGCGGGCACATTTCAAAAGGACCTAACGTTTAAACCTTGCCCGCGAATTCGGTAACGTTCTGTAACCAAGCTTGTATCCTGGCACGATCTCGGTATCCTTTTGATACCACGAGATCGCCAGCAAATATATCTCGACTTGGTCCATTAATTGCCTTCTGATATTTGGCTTCCGGGGGATTTTATGGAGTCATTTGGCACGTGCTTTCTTGGTAGCGGTGTTCATAGTTCATCTCGACTCGACGCCACGCTACAAACTCATCATGAACCTACTGAAGGAAAACGCGGAACGTTGTTTCACAGAAGGGATTAGACGTTCATAAAGCAGTAACTGAAGCATACATTGACTCAACAAGTGGACCGTCGACGCCGGTCACTAACCGCGGTCCACATGCATACGGACTGTACAAAAGTATATTGGAACTGACTATTCTAATTTACACTGTCATGAACAAGAGAAATACGTGGAAGAGACAGGGACAACCCACTCAAGTAGTTCTGTATACCAAGGTCGCCTGTTCATTCACATGAGACACATTCAGACAAATGGGACAAGGGCTTTCACGCGTTTCATATTGGAAGTACTAACCACTTATACACAAGCATTGAGAGTTTACTGAACAACATCGACGAGTTTCGAGAATCAAGTAACGCTGGGAGCACCCATTTGAAATATGGTCATCCCAAATGCCAGAGGGTGAGCTGGCAATACTCGTCATAACTTTGTTTCTTAACGACAAAAACACTAAGAACAGGATGGATGGGATTCCTGTACCTACTATCGTGCTTGGTGGTATGTCAAGCGTACACCTAAATGCTTATCAATTTTGATGAATCTTTATGGTGCTCGGCAAGACTCTCTGACACCTCAGGATGGTAAGTTCGAGTTACCTACAGAAAAATAACTGATGCTAACGAGTACGACGAAATAATGCTAGGGGGATTATCCTGTACTATTCGTCTCGGAGACTCTAATATCCTAATATACATATACTTCAATCTTCCTTAAGCCAACTTCGCTGAACACATATGTGAAGTGGAAGACAAATTTGCCGCATCTCTAATCTTCAACCTCATGGAAGAATTAAGCATATTAGAACTTGCGCAGTAAAGGACCCGACGGAAAAACGGCCAGACACCACCAAGCTTCGGTTGCCTATTTAACAACGATGAATTCCTGATTGACAAACGTTCAGTCCTGACTCTCCAAGAAAGAGGTTATCCCACCACCACAGACTTCAGTTTTATTGACAAAACTGAACGAGGACATTCTACAAACAACAGACATTAGAACTTCAAACGTTTGAAAGTTTTAGCTTTATAGGGCAATCTACGGCAAATGGGCCGAGAAGCCCGCCCTCAACTAGGCATTGCCGTCCACTGATATTTCTTACTAAACAATGTATTACGCTGTACAAACCAGTCTGATCCAAAATGGTCCCAAAATGTTACTAGCAGCTTGCATTCCTGCTCAGCTTTAAAAAGTAGTGATAAACGGGTTATGAACGAACTAGAGACGTCGACACATATAGGCAGTTCAAAGGAGCATAGAATTAATACACAGAGGCGTTGACAGAAGATAGGCTTATACCAATCCCCTACTTTGGCCTGATAATACCGAAGCCTGATTTTGTTACAGAGGAGATGACGTCCCAGAGCACGGCGCGACAGGCTGACGTGTGTAACTCCTTTCAGCGGTGAAGGCACGGCTGCAAGATTTCAACAAGCACATTACACCTCATTTTGAAAAACGCCTTACCTAACTGATCGAAAAAGGTTAGACTGGATCTTCCACAGCACATAATTTCGATACAGTTCAACAATAGAAATGGCGCTAAGTATATGGAAGATCGTTGGTCGTCGAACTATCGGAGAGTGCCTCTTCAAGCAACTTTTTTATCCAAGCTTCTCCAAACAGAAGCAAGCGGTACGCGTCTCGTTCCAAATTTGAAACACTGTTTGAAAAACGCGGTAGACAAGCCAGATGTATCTAATGGTTGGGTTTCGGAAATCACTGGAATCCACAGGATAGAAATTTTCGCACGTTGCATATTGTCATTGGGGTTTCATGTGGCCTACGATGTTTACGGATCTAATAACAAACACGAATGGTATGTTCCAATACGATCATTTCCCTTTTAAATCATACAATTTTCTTTCTGAAAATGGATTGTGTCAACCATTGAGTACCAATGTATTTAGTAATGATCTATACAAACAAGGTCTGTCATCTCTCTAATTGACCGAAAAGTAAAATGTAACCGGTGAAACTTTTCTCGACAGTAGTCCTCTAAAACGTGAGGGCATTTTTATTTTCCTCGTTGAATATACCTTGGTTCATACATTGTATCATCAGTTATCCACAGCTACTAGATAATTGAACCCTTTAGGCAATATATTTTACAACGATTTAAACCGTCTACAAACACATCCATAAGGTAGATTATATATATTCAGTGTGAGTAGAAATGTTTTTTTCGAGGTCGTCTTTAAAAGTGATTGGATCTGAATGCAATGAATTCAGGACTGATAATTACTTTAAATGATCTGTATAGGTCAAATTGAAACATTGTATACTAGTCACAAATTTGAGCTCAAGGTATACTCGCATGACTCGGAAAGGTACTGCAAAGCTAGATGAGCTTCGCAAGATCGAGGGTCAGGTGCAGACTTTTTGGGAGTCGAATAAAATATTTGAAGCAGACGTTCCTTTGAAAAACAGTGAAACGTAACATTCCACGGTTGATGACATTTGTTTTAGAATTGAAAAGTACTTCGTCACTTTCCCTTACCCCTATATGAATGGGAGACTACATTTGGGTCACACATTTTCTTTGTCGAAATGCGAGGTAAGCGGAACTATCTTGTAAATGCGCGAAGTTTTCCGTAGGGTACGAACGACTGAAGGGCAAGTTGGCTCTGTGGCCGTTCGGTCTTCATTGCACCGGTACGCCTATCCTAGCATCTGCAGACAAATTATCACGAGAATGCAAGGAGTTTGGTTGTCCACCTGTCTTCCCACACGAGGCTTCGGAGCTTTCTGCTAGTATGGAGACAGTGGTACTAACCTCGCCCTTATGCTTAACATATAACCTAATAATTTAGACTCCTGCTCAAGGTAAAAGCAAAAAAAGTAAAGCTATTGCGAAGACTGGTGGCGCAAAGTTTCAGTGGCAAATAATGGAAAGCCTTGGCATGGATAACAATGAAATCGCTAAATTTAAAGACCCTGAATACTGGTTGAAATTTTTCCCTGCTTTAGCTGTTGATGACCTGCGTAAACTAGGTGTCAAGGTGGGTTTCATGTACTCCAGCCGTCTTTATTTTATCTCTGGTGCTGTGTTTATATTTAATAAACCTTATTCTTTATACTTCATGTATGTCAGTGGTATCCGTACTTACCAGCTATATCTATTTATGATTCATCGTGATTGACAATGTTTTGTGGGCAAAGGTCACTAAATGCTGCTGTTTCTTCAGGTAGTTTATCTGCCACTAGTTTACTTATGCTGTTCATGCATCTTCATTTCCAAACCATGATGATTGTTTCAATCCTTAACTGGGTCTATTAACCGAATTTAATGCAAATTCTCTGTCAGACTAGTAATACGCATACGATTTATCGACTCGTCTCTTTTCATTTCTTAGTCAGTTTCATATACTTGAGAACTATCCTACACGATGAATAGTCAGCATTTCTATCATAGCTTTTATGAGAGGAGAGTTCTTACATGTAATAAGCAATGCGTATTGAATTATTAGGGATTATGTGCCTAAAACTGGTCTGAAATCCCACACATTGGCTGTTTCAGTCACTGTCTTACATACTGAAGGCCAATGTAATTAAATCATCAGGTACAGGTCAGTCTACATAGGTTGGACCCACACTGGAAGTGTGGGTGCCAATAATATTACCTTATTGTCTAAATCAGAGTAGGTTTGAACATGCAATTTAGTAGTTAAAAACCGAACACACTCATAGAGTAATTGCTCCACTTACAGCCGATAATAGTTAACATAGGACTAGGCATTATTATATATCCCAACTGATCAGCCCTAATGGGTTGGTGTCTGACGAAATCTCTGCACGGATTCAAAAAGCTCGTTTGGCTTTTTCCAACTTACTTCACCTAAGGCAAAGGCGAGATATCCGTCCACAATTAAGGGGCGAGTATACTGCTCAGCAGTTCGTTCTGTTTTACTTTACGACTGCGAATTGTGTAGAGTAGAAGATACTCATAAGTTACTAATATTTGGAAACATGTCTTAAAAATATTGCTCACATCCTCTGGGATCACCAGGTAAGTATTAGTGAGATTGGATGCAGGGTATTAGCCAATGAAAGTAAATCAGTTGATGACGTTATGAATCCTCATCGACTGAGATGGTTGGGTCACGTATTAATCATGATCAACAATCGATTACCACGACGTGCAATGCTGACTAGTGTTGGTGATGGTTGGAATCAAGTTAGGGGAGGCCAAACCAAAACGTGGCATCAGTCCTTGAAGTCATTTGCTTCTGGTCTGAGCCACGTTGATGGATGAAGACTATTCGGTTGGGGTCTGTGTGACCATCGTTACAAATGGTTGGAGACTTTTGGTGACACGGCTCAGAATCGATCACAATGGCGTATGTGTATACACTCTTTGTTTTCCCTTAAACCGCGAGATTAAAATTGCTTTATATCTTTCTTTCAACTAAATAATCCTTTCTTCCTCATATGCAATCTTTTTTATATATATTACCACCATTGAATTAATTGCTTCTATGAATCCGGTGTTCATCTTGTGCTAAGGAGGCTTGGAAACTTGGACAGGTGCACATATGTGCCTGGTCTTACGTTGTAGCTGACTGACTTGTCACACTTCATATAAAAGAAATCAGCTATCCAGTCACCAACGTAGAGCTTAGCAATAGTGTGGACTGATGCAAGTTGCCATACCCCACTATCTAGACGTTAGAGTAGCAAGATGTACAGCCGAGAAGGTTGAAATAATTTAGTAGCAAGGACAGTGGAATAGGCTAAGCATTGAAAATCAGGTTTGAAGTAAGTAGAAGGGGATACTTAAAGGTATACCATAATTCAAGATTGGAAGATAAAGAATGAATGCATCCGCGCTATTGTAAACGGTTGTAACCCATGCCATTTTCAGTCTGCAGCTACTGATCGCCACTACCTTGTGAACGCCAGCCAGACTAGATCTATATCTTCATTTAATCGCCCCTAGTTTTCGGGTAGAATACCAGAAGTAGGAATTAATTAGTTTTGAATCAGTGTGATGGTTGTGGGAACAGGAATACTTACTGTGGGCTATAATCGGACGGATGTGCTATTAGTTCAAGGAAATAAATCTAATGAGGTTTCTAACAGCACTAGTTTATCAGGGTTATGTTCGCGATTTGAAATATTCTTTGCTAGTATTGTTCTCAACGACACTATATTAAACACAGAAAAGCTCCATATAATCATATAGAACTATAATACAGCGTGATTTTTAAGATAATACGTCTTCCTACTCATTTCTTTTTGAAGGACGTTTCGTTCATTAGTATTTACGTTAATTGGTGTTTTTTGGTCATTTATGTCGCCTTAAGTCTGTGAATGTTGATGGCTGCGCAACGACGGTAATAAGACAAGGTTATGATGTCTGTTGATTTTCTCATTCAGAAGGCCCTAATAATGTTAACAATAATATTTTATCTCAATAAGTTTAGTAGGCTACACTGCAGAATACTAACTCGTGGTAAAATGATCTCTTGAATTTTTCTAATGTTAGGTTGATTGGAGGAGATCCTTTATTACAACAGATGCTAATCCCTACTATGATTCATTTGTTCGTTGGCAGTTCCTGACTCTTAAGAAGCAAGGAAAAATTCAGTATGGTAAACGATACACCATATTCTCTGCTCGAGATAATCAGCCATGTATGGATCATGAGCGAACTGTTGGAGAGGTAAGGTACGGTATAACCCAACTTGTATTTAATTCAAGGGTGTCGTTCCACAAGAATATACGTTGATTAAGTTGAAAGTCATATCCGAATTTCCTTCGAAATTCAGGTGAGTACTGTTTCGGGCATTATTTTCTGAACAAATATTCCACTTGTCACTTATCTTCATCGTTAAAATAACTGAGCCATGCAACCACTGATTAGAATTATTGAGTCCGCCTCAACTTGATGTCTTCTTTCGAAATTGCCCAAACTAGTGGCTTCGTAGACTGACGCTGTCTTGATTGAGTCAACTTCTTTCCAAAGCTACTCATGTGTCAGCTGACTTCGGGCAAGGCATGAGTAACTTATGTTCTAACCACGTTAGTCAATAAAGACGTTCACAGGCTAACAGATAGTTACTTTTTCACAAATTTCACGTTTTTCCAACATCTGTTGCTAAAAGTAATCCCAACTAAAAGCAATTCAATATCATGTTAAACTCCTTGTATAGTTGTTCAAATTTGATAAGCCTCACATCTCGCAAAAGTTTTGACTATAAAGATAGTATTGTCACTTCAAAAATGACGATGTTTTACACATATTTGAAAATAATGTAGTTAAAATGAAATTTATTTACAGACTTATGTTAACGAGTGATACTTATCTATGATGTAAAAAAGATAATATAATGAACTAGACAACTTGGATCAGTTGCATGTAGTTGTTCACGTAACTAAAAGTACTATTTATTGAACCAAGTATTTACGAAATTTGAGCTGCTTGAATGAGGATGATATCAGTTTCTAATATCTAAAATTCAATTTTGAAGGAAGGAAGTTTACTCTTTATAACGTCACAATTTTGTATGCACTTCAGTCCCACTTGTATAAAGTTAAACATTTAACGTTGATAGATTCCCAAAGTAAACATGGTGGTTACGAGCGCTTACGTTTTGCGGTGAATAAACTCGTCTTATTTTTGTCCTTAGTTGCGTAAACCAATTAAAAGAACCCATATTCCTTGTTGCGGCAACTCTACGTCCTGAAACGATGTTTGGCCAAACTAATTGTTGGGTACATCCAGATATAGATTATGTCGGAGTGAAAAGCACACAACAGTCTTGTATACTAATTTGTACTCAACGCGCTGCTCAAAATATGGCTTATCAGGTTTGTCTTACGTACAATTTTGCCATTGAATGATTATTAAAGTGTAATATGATATTGGCAAGGCTACTGTGCTCATAATATTAGTATTTAATCCATTCTGCGTATGTGGTTGGGAATAAATGGTTTTTTTACTTGATAAAGCACTAGATACAAGTCATTTTATTGATAAATGCAAACTAATTGGTTGTAGCAAAAACTCAAACTCTGTGTTGTGCTCGTAATTTCCCTTCAAATCAGTTGACTGAATACTGACTGAGTTTGTGTTTATTAAATGATACTCCGCTTAGGAAATCAAACAATAGTAGTTTTTGTTAATGAGGGAGAATCCACCATAGTTTCGTGTAAAACGCAACCAAATATTACGACAGGATCATCACTGGTTTGTGTATCGCTCCACGCTCGATCATATTCCCAGCCGGAGGTTTGCGTGATCTTTAGCATCATGGCTGGAAAGTCGCAAAAGCTGTTAGTCTTATCTGTGTTATTAACTGATAGCCTCTTTTAATCCAATCATATCGTTGTCAAACAATGGGGGTATGAAAGCCGTTGGGATGACATTCATATAGTATGCTCAAATCACCGTGTTCAGTGTCTATAGATCGAATTACCAATGTGTTATCACCAAATGCGAACAATCTTTTGGAGATATCGACTATTTAGTACAGCATGCTCCTACACAATTTAAACTCAGAGGAGTCAAGTTTCAAAACGTAGAGCAGAACTGCATTCACGAACGTGTGGTATAGCCAACGTTTTACTTCATAACTAATGTCGCGACGGCATAAAACATGGTCTAGATTACTATGAGGTTTTATAGTTTCCAGTTTCCATAAACTCATATCATCTGCTAAAACCTGAATGCAAGAGCGTTTTGGGAATTTCCAGCCGGTCACAAAAATGACTGAAGTGCAGGTTCTTATCAGACTTGGAAGAATACTTTGCATTCTGAAAGTGTAATAAGCATGCCTTACTAACAGTGACTGATTTTCTACTAATTGAGTGGATATGGATGGCTTGTGTATCATCGCACAGTAAGACATTATCATTCTCGGGCTGAAAATCAAAAACACTCCAAGTGACAGATTCACACCATCACTTGCCTTTCACGGAGCTGTTTCCAGAATGCCATTGGAGCTGAGGTTGAAAAGAGATGATGAAATTTCGCAAGACTGCCTAACACCACTGGTGAGGCTGGACAGTGGAGGGATGGGTTTAGTGTGTACGGAGGCTTCAAATTCTTTATCTTCTCAAGCATATCGTTCACCAACAGTAAGTCTTACTCGATGTATTGAAGGCGGTTCTGATATCGAAACGCAACAATTTTTTCACCTACAGGAGTTCGTGGGTGTTCAACCAATTGGCAAAAGTTAAACAACCAAAACCAACTTACTCTTTAAGAGCCACCTTTTTATGAGTTCTAGATAATTTGTAAGGTCCGAAGGATCCGGTCATTTAGATGTGATTGGAAAAACATCGACTAAGATAAACCATTACTTTTAATTCGTTTAGTTAGTATCATCTAACTCCATTATGTTCTGTTTATGATTATCTCCATATGTTCTCAGTGTTTACCTCATTGCTTAACATTCCGTAGAGTTTAATTTTGGTGGAATGGGCTTTGAACCTTCAAACCAATAATTGGAAGTTAGATGCTTTAACCGATGAGCTACCTTTCTTACTGATGCGTTAATTTTAAACTTATTACAGATTGTTTCGTTTTAGGAAAACCAGAATACTCTCGATTTTTATCTGCTTTTTTGTTCTAATTATGTATTGTACACCCCCATCTATTATTTTCTCGGTGACATGCCTGTCCAAATTATTTTCCACTTACATTATGCTTTAAAACTGATTTTTACGACCAAAGTTTCATTGATGTCCTAGCGTCTAATTCCTTGTTTGAAATGTCGGAATTTTCTGTTCCATTCAATAACCTGTTGTTATGCAACTTGATTTCAGGGTATTTTAGATCCTTCACACCCTGGGCACATCGATATAGTCGCGAATTTCAAAGGTGCTGATCTTCTCGGATTAAAAGTCAAGGCTCCGTTATCCTCTTATGAATCTGGAGTTTTCGTTTTACCTATGATGTCGATTCGATCTTCTAAAGGTACCGGAATTGTGACTAGTGTTCCTAGCGATTCTCCAGATGACTGGGTCGCTTTGCAAGACTTAATTAAAAAGCCTGTAAGATTAACTTCATATTGTTTCACTTTCATTCGTTTTTGTTTTGTGATAGATGTCATAATTTCCCTTATTACAACTCAGCTACTCCTATCACTTAGTATTCTTGGAAATTAATTCACTCGACAAATCCCCGAATCAGAACGCAGTTGAACAGGAACGAAATTATATTCCAAATAACAAGAGTAGATGGAAGTAGGAAGCACAATATGAAAAACGTTAGCTTATTTATAGTTTTTACATAGGAAGATTCTCGAGTGTTCACTATCGCTAATTGGTGGTGAAATAGTCATTCAGTGTGCCCCAGCATAATCCTACGCGGAACGTGCTTTAATCCAATCTTGGCTACTTTTACATATTATATTGATGTATATGCTATAACTGTGACGGCAGATTAGAGGACAGTGAATTATCGATCGGACCAAAGACGCGCAAACACGTAAGAACGGCCTAGGGTTCTGATTGGTCCCGCTTCCCTGTCTAGCTCAGCCAGTTGAGTCTAGAACACAAGTCTCAGCCTCGAAGATATGAATCGTTATATTTCAAACACACTCTGCTTATATAACAATCAAGCAGACCACATCGTACCACAAAATAGAAAATAACATTATACAATATTGACCAGTAGGAAAATGACACATGAAATAAATATTGACCAATAAGAAAATGGCACCATCTCAAGTCCAAGGATAGCGTTAGACTTTACAGAATAATTTTTGGGATATTTTCCTGAATATCCCAACAGTATATAACAATGTATAATTTACTCTGAAGAGGTGACTTACATTAGGGCCCCCAAATGCCCTGGTATGGCCGAGAGCGGGGTGGGTTCGCCCTCCCTCTCGAAATACTCTCACACGGCCATGCGTATACGGCCTCTGCCAGGGAAGTCCTACTCACTGCCTTCTCGTGGCGGGGGTGTTGTTTACGAAAATAAGAGGACGAAAAGCGAATGTCCGGGGCTTTAACCGGATTCTAAATCAATGGTGCACATGGGCTCCAGTATCCTGCGGGAACAAAAGGCGTATGAACCTATTTTCGGTCATCGGCTACCATGGGACTGCATCTCCTCACGATGCTCCACTGCCTTGTGGGTTAGACCATTAGGTCAAAGGCTCGGGGAGTGGCCCCCTAAGATAACCACCTGCTTCGGTTTGGGCACCTGAGCAGTATCACAGTCCACACACAATTAATGAACTGAACTGTCTATGATCATGGAAACTAATTCTCCTGCTTCGACGAACATTCAAATGATTCAATTATTATTATTGCTAATAATAATATTATTATTATTTACTATGTCATTATTCACCCTCTTTTATTCCTACTCTGTCTAAACTTATATTTTTCGACTTATACAGCGGCTCGTCTTTGGTGGAAATTCGACTATATCTAAACGTTCTCGAGTCACTGTCCGGTTGAAAATTGTATGTTACCACCGAGTACGAGGACTGAAGCAGTTTTTCTGAAACCACGTGCGCCATTCAAACTGGCTGCCTTCAACGTTTGCACATTTATGCAGGTCGGACAACAGATAGGGCTGGCTATGTCTTTGGAAAGTCTTAATACTGATGTTTGTTGTCTATCCGAGACCCATATTCAAGACTCTGGCGAAGTACTACAAATTCGATCTCCATCTGTCGCTTCGAAAAGCTTGTTTTACGTGCGCTTATCCAGAGATCCTGTGGCATCTTCGTCTGGTCTTGCTGGCGTTGGTGTCGCACTAAGCGCTAGAGCTGAGGCAGCACTAGTCGATTGGATCCCCATTAACAGTCGGTTATGTGCTGTTAGATTAGAGAGTTCCATCAAAGTGAGAAGAAATCGGCGTGAGAAACGATGTCTTTTCGTTATCTCCGCCTATGCTCCGACAGGTTGCAGCCCGGATGCAATCAAGGATGAGTTTTAGCACCAGTTATCTGTTCTTCTCCAGAAAGTGCGTTCGACAGATATTGTAGTACTAGCCGGAGACTTGAATGCTCAGGTCGGGCATCTAGGCACAGAAGAGAGTCGTTTAGGTGGGCGATGGGGACTCGTTGGTCGCAGGTCAGATAACGGGACCGTCTACTGCAACTTTACACAGACCACAACCTGTTTCTGGCTAGCACTAACTTTTGGCACAGTCATCGCCGATGTGCCACCTGGCGTCCTCCCTCTGCATCTCAAGCCTGGACTCAGATTGATCACATCGCGATCAGCTACCGCTGGAGTGGTTGTGTACAAGACTGCCGCTCCTTTTGGAGTACCTATCTGGACTCTGACCATGTTTTGGTCTGCGCCAATCTTACCTTTTCAGTGGACAACGAAGTGACCGCCACCAACGGATTGATGTTAGCAAGCTGGTTGCAACTTCTGTTGCAAGGAAGTATCGAACCGAGCTAGCCTCTAGGCTAGCTACCACTCCACCGAAAAGTATAGATGAGCATTGGTTGCAATTGCATGACGCCATGAAAATGGCGGGTACAGTCAGTTGTGGGTTCGCGGAACGTCCCGCTTATAAGCACTGGGTTTCTTCAGGTTCCTTACAACTCATTGAAGCCCGTCGGTCTACTCCGGGTGACCGTGAGTTTGACCATAAACGAAGGATGTTACGTAAGGAAATTGGGCAAAGCTTGCGTAAGGACCGAGAAGCCTGGTGGTCGATGCGTGCTAATGAGCTGGAAGCAGCAGCTGCATCTGGTAACTACCGGAAGCTCTTCCAGCTCATCCGAGCCACTGGCAGCAAGAAGTCTGGTGTGAGTGAAACAATCTGTGAGGATGACGGGATGCCAATCACTAACATCCATCGACGTCTTGAACGATGGGCAGAATTTTTCGAAGGGCAGTTCAACTGGCCTGCTGCTCCGGCAACATCGGTCAAACTGTCCTGCCCTCCATGGCAGGTGACGACTGATCCACCAAATGAGGAGGAAGTCCGCAAGGAACTCCAACTCTTGAAGCGTTACAAATCACCTGGCCCAGATGACTTACCTCCGGCTCTTTTTAAAGATGGTGGTGACTTTCTGACTAAGGAATTGACGACGTTGTTTACAAAGGTTTGGGAACTAGAGAGTGTATCAACGTCATGGAATGAGTCGATAGTTGTCCCTATCTTTAAAAACGGTTCACGTCGTTCCTGCAACAACTATCGGGGGATAAGTCTACTTCCGATTGCGTCCAAGCTATTGGCTTCCGTCATACTTCGTAGGTTGTTCAAAACCTGAGAAAGATTGACTCGCGAGGAGCAGGCTAGGTTTCGTTCTGGTCGAGGATGTACTGATCATATCTTCACCCTCCGCCAAATGTTAGAACACCGCCATACTTTTCAAAGGCCAACAATCGTAGTGTTTCTTGACATCAGGGCTGCCTTCGATTCGTTGGATAGGACTGTTCTCTGGGATAGTCTATTGAAGAAGGGTGTGCCTGAGAAGTTTATTAACATCCTAAAAGCCCTGTATAAAAGCACCTCAGGCAGAGTGAGGACATACAACCACCTCTCTCCATTGTTCCATTCGAGCAGTGGGGTTAGGCAGGGTTGCCCAATCTCACCATTCCTCTTCAACTTTGCCATCGACGACATTCTGGAAACAGCTCTGATGAATGTAAGTAATGGTGGTGTGGATCTGTTGCCCGGAGAAAGACTTCTTAACCTTGAGTATGCGGACGATATTGTCTTACTGTGCGACAATGCCCAAGTCATGCAATCCGCACTTAATCAGTTGGCAATCAGTGTCCGTAGGTATGGTATGTGCTTTGCACCTTCGAAGTGCAAAGTACTTCTACAAGACTGGCAGGATTCCAATCCTGTACTCACTCTGGATGGTGAGCAGATAGACGTAGTTGAGAAGTTCGTGTATCTGGGTAGCTGCATAAGTGCTGGTGGGGGTGTGAGTGATGAGATCAATGCACGTATAGTGAAAGCCAGAGCGGCTTATGCCAATCTGGGCCACCTTTGGCGCCTTCGTGATGTTAGTCTGGCTGTAAAAGGCCGGATCTACAACGCGTCGGTGAGAGCAGTTTTGCTCTATGCTTGTGAAACCTGGCCTCTCCGAGTTGAGGACGTTAGACGACTCTCTGTGTTCGATCATCGCTGTCTCCGAAGGATTGCTGACATTCAGTGGCAACACCATGTCAGTAATGCAGAGGTTCGGCATCGTGTGTTCGGGCACAGAGATGATAATTCAATTGGTGTCACCATCTTGAAACACCGACTTCGGTGGCTTGGACGTGTTCTACGAATGTCGTCCCAAAGAATTCCACGTCGTGCATTATTTGCCGACTCTGGGACTGGTTGGAGAAAGCGGAGAGGTGGTCAGTGCATGACATGGTGTCGTGGTATGAAAGAAAGCTGCAAAGGATTGGCTTCTGTTGGTCCTTCACGACTCCCTGGTTGGGGTCCGAGAGATGGTGCTACCCAGTGGCTAGAGACGTTATCGGACATGGCTCAGAATAGAAGCCAGTGGCGATACTGCTGTAACCTTCTTTTACTTTCTTCATAAAAGTGGTTGTTTCTTCCTTAACTGAAAGATTTGTTCTGATTGTACCTTTCCGTTCCCCCATTATGACTATGATTATTACTACACTCCCTTACACCACTCTCTTCATTATTATTTATTATTATTATTATTATCATTTTTTTACGTCCCTCAATTTTTTTTTCTTCTTAAATTCTCATTGTTTTGTGTGGCGCATATATATTTGGCCCACTCCTGTACCAATATATATGTGTTCAAATAAATAAATAAAGGTCGTGAAACTTCAGAAATACAATTTTCTACTCATTGAGATATCACGAAAATATTTTTACTATTAAATTAATTACTTATTATTTAAGGATGCAGCTCCTTTTATGCTGTTAATTCATTTAGTAATTTTTATGGAGAATAAAAATATTTTTGAATAATATTGCGGCCTATACGATCGATGTGTAATTAGAGGAGAGCGGCTGTATGACCTGGTCTAAATATTGATTGCTTTACCCAAAATGTTTACATAGTACCAGCGACCTTCTACTAACCAATAATACGATAATGTGAAACAAAAACCGAGAACAGTATTTCATGACTGTTGATCCATAGTAGAATACAATACAGCAAGTAGATAACGTCTAATTATGAAATTCAGATTTATAACTGATTCGTACAATAATATAGAGTAAAATTTTGGTCACACACCAACATAATTTAGAAATTACGATGTAAACATAACTACTCCGTAATTTAAATAAAACTGAGTAATAGGTCCGTAATACATTAACAGTAACTTAAGAAAGGTATAGCACATAATAACAATTTATACCTAGCGAAAAGGTTTACAGATGAAGGCATATAAAGATATAATAATTCAAGTATCTGGTGTCATACGGCAGAAGTTTAAACAATAACATAAGGTAGAACAGTTCCGAAAGTTCAGCTCTGTTTAATATTTAACCCATTATATCAATAACTTATGAATAACATATCATTACTGTGTGTTGTTATAACTTAAGTTGTTACAAGCAAGTTAAACTACTCGATGTTCAATGAGATGCAGATTTGAATCCCTCCGAAAGTCTTAGGAGAGGGATGACCTTAAATCAAGCTAATGAACTTTTACTTGGTTATTGTTATATACATTGCCATGGCTTTTCATTGAGGTTGTGTCATAAGTCGAGTAAAAAGGCTATACATGAGTTAAATTGCTTTCAACAGTGTTAGTCGTTAGCCTGGAGATTTTGGAAATCAACTTGATTAGTCATCATTTATTCTGTGATTTAATGCTGATAAGCAGTTCCTTATTTTCTCAACTTTTACTTAATTATGGTTTTCAGGTTACCTCACATTCTCGTAACTCACAGAAACAGGTGAAGGTTTACTGTTCAATCCCCTTTGAAATATTACTCCCTAAGCCTATTTTTATGTGTTAATGAGTAACTGACAATCCAACCCATCATATACTTAAGTGCATAAGCTTTATGCTTGAAGCAAATAAAATATCTGCCTGTTTATTTATATAAGATGACATTGTTGTACATTTCGGTTGTAACAGCAGGCGTAATCAATGGACGTGGTAATCAATTACTGCGGTTGTTTTTTCATAATCACAGTTGTCAAACTTGATTCTAGGTCACTGACCCAATAATTATATAACTACTTACGTCTCCATATTTTCTTTCTGATATGGGTTTATTAAAATTTTGATAGAATTCTGCGTATGGGTGTTGAGGGTAGTTTCACGATTTTCTGTGGTTTACGTTAGCACTCTTCTCTAGTGGAATTTTACAAGCAAGTCAGTTTTTACAACAAGAATTTCCGGTTTTGGTGAAACATTTGTCGGCGTCATTTTTCTGATAGGATTAACAGTAAGAACAAACCATTACCTCACCACTATATTACGTTAATTTTAGATTTCTAATAAATTGAGCCATACTGTTCTTGTTCAATTGTTTTCATTTTTAATTCGCAGGCATTCCGGACGAAATACAATCTTCTTGATTCGATGGTCATACCATTCGAACCGGTTTGTAATTTATACGGAAATAATAACAATTATATTATAATTTCAATTTTCAGATACCCATAATTGAGACACCGGGTTTAGGTAGTTTACCAGCTGTCACAATAGTAGATCAGTTAAAGATTCAAAGTCAAAATGATCGAGATAAATTACAAGAGGCCAAAGAAAAAGTTTATCGTGTTGGTTTTTACGATGGGGTAGGCTATTCTTATTCAAATATACATATTCTTGTTCCTTGAATATGATAACATATTAGATTATGCTGGTTGAAAAATATAAAGGTTTAAAGGTGAATTCAGTGAAAAAACTTATTCAAGACCAATTAGTTGAAACGGTGAGTGGGAAAGAATTTCTTTTTAGATTTATTAGTTAAATATGTGTTGTGAACTAATTATATCCCTGTTATTGCCAGTTAAAATTTCTGGGTTGTTTCTAACTTATTTTAGTTAGAAATTTAAATTCCTACTACTGAATTTCATTAGTAATAATTTAACAATTCAATGTGCATAATTATTTTTAAAAAACTAAAACTACAACTTTCACAATATTTCACACCATTAAATTGCTTTTGCACATTCCTAAACTTTGGGTCTTTACAATTTCTTCATCAGGAAAATATTAAGTGTGACTAATAAAATACTTATTATATCCTAACCAGCAAAATTTTTTTATTTCTAACATTTCGTAACTTAATTTAAGTCATTTTTTCAGATCAAATAAATAAACAACCGGATTTGCTTACTCACAAGGAGTGGTTTATACTTAGTTATGAGATATCAGAAGTCCAAATTTATACTCATTTGAGATGTCACTAATATGTTATTTTATTACTTACTTTCTACCTAATGCTAAATTTGTTGAGAATTACAACGTCAAACAGTGGTATTAATATCTACAAATGAAATATGACTTTTAAATCCTACATAGTGCATTAATTGTGCGTTTTACAGCCATAGTGTTTTACTCTAAATATCACACGTGCCGGTATTTTGTTATCCACTTTTTTATATCGAAAACTGTATATATTATGTGTATAGCTGCAACTAAATTAGAATACTGAGTTGTCAATCTGTTGTACTAATTTCTTTCTTAGTTACTATATATGGAGTAAAATAAAAAAAGTGTCGTGAATTGACTTGCCATTTACTGTGATTACTAAGTTTGGTAGTTCATCTGTAGTTATATAATTTTATTTATTGGGAGTGTCATGTTGTCCGGGATTGACAGCTTAATCGACTAAATCATTCAAGATCCCTCGGTTCAACTTCAGATTCCCATCATCTCATAATTACTTATAGATTAGCCAATGATATGTATTTCAGTGAGCTTCATTAATTGTAAACCAACCTTGTTCACTCAAAAATTCTAAGTAAAAAAGTCCGAGTTAGGATAAAGTGTACAAGTAAGAATATCGAAAGCAAACCTGCTAAACTCGGTTATTCCAGTTAGCTTAATTTCTATTATACCTTTCTTTAAAATATATTTCACTAACTTGCTTTACATAAACATTTCTTGAACTGTTACTTACGATTAAACCTAAGAGTCCGAAGAATTGTTACTGTCTCATTCAAACGTTTAAACAGAACTCCCAAATTTGAAATTATTCTAAACAAGTATTCACTTCGGATAAAAGACTGAATTATTTAGATTTGATAGCATTCTATCTGTCAAATTGTTTGCCATAAATATCGTAATGTAAGTTCTGTCAATTATACAGCGTTATACTTTTCTGCTTATAAATACATTTGTATTAGAATGAAGCTATAATTTATTACGAGCCGGAAAATCTAGTCGTTACACGTGGTGGTGATGAAGCAGTGGTTGCTTTGTGTGATCAATGGTATCTAGATTACGGCTCAGAGGAATGGAAAACAGAAGTCCGTAAAGCAGTAGCTAACATGTCAGCAACCGATGAGGTAATATTGTAATATTGTATCTCTAATGTTATATTGTCGTAAGATTAGTATCACGACGAGTTTATTTTTTGTAAAGTTTATGTTATTGTACATAAAGATGATGCGTTGTGTCTCACCTTTTTGACACAGAAAGATTAACTCGGCATAATTAATTTATTTGAAAACTATGCACTGTATGCTTTTGTATCATCATCGGGGGTTTCACAAGTGTGTCAATATGAAATCCACTATAATGATATCTAATATTAACACACATCGTTGGATTGGGCCATCTTGTGGTCTAGTTAGAGGTATATCTAAGATGGGAAGCTGGTGATTCTTCTTAACAAGTATGTGTGTGATCAGATTGTTTGAAATGTATTGCGCTAATGTATCATCTAGTTCTGACAATCTTCATCTTATTATACTATTGAAATTATATGTGTCTCCTTCTGTATTAATGTGCGTGTGTAGTAGGCCAAACCATGACGGCATGGCAATCCTTTTTTAATGTATTCAAGAACGCGTTTTCGGTGGCCGTGACAACGTTCAAAAGTACAGGGCTTGTACTTTGTACGTTATTTTCGTTTATAATTTCGAGGATAGTCGATCAATCGAAAAATATTCACCTTTTATATCAGTTTTCAGTAATAACGAACCAATTATTATCATTTTAAACATAGTCATTTAATTGGACGAAACGTGACAAAATAAAGTTTTGGGAAAAAAAAATACAAAAATAACTGTGCGATCAATGATTTTACCAGTTCTAGAAGTATTTATATGTATATAATATTCAAAAAACTGATTTATTTTAAACTATCAATAAGTTTACGAATAGAAATGTGTATTACTTTCCCATACATTAGTTTTAGTGACCTTGGTTTACCCTCAAAATTCAAAATTATTTCTGATAGTAGTTTAGAAAATACGTTATATTTGGTAAAATTTCTATATGGTATTGACCTCTGTGCGTAATTAATGAATTCATTTATCTGTTACTTATTGGTAATACACATTGTTCCTTTTTTTTCATTGTAAATTTGTATAGAGTACTTTATAATTTTCATATTTTTTAATTTCATTCTAATTAGTTTAGTTATAGTTCAATTGAATGTGCAAAAATGTTTGAATACATTAGAAACAAACAACAAATCGGTCAATATTTACTGTTTAAAATGTTTAGATTATATATTTTATTCATTTTGTATTTTAGTTTAGGGAGACTATATCAACATATATTTAAGATTTCGTCTCATAGGTTTAAGCTTATATCACTCAAGAAAGACTCTTATCAAAAACAAAAAGTAAGGTACTTTTTCCAGTGTGTAAAATTCGATCTACACTGACAAACAGATATTTCTGTGTGTTTGTTCGTTGTAGTTGTAAATGTATTCACTCACAGTCTTGTTGGTTAATTGCAAACGTGTGAACGTGTTGTATTTTGAAATTTTTTAACTTGATTTTATGTTGGATTCATTCTTGTTCTTTTTAATAATGGCATGCGGTTTCATTGCTTTTTTATTTAGGTTAGACGCGGTCTTTATTCAACCGTTGACTGGTTACATGAACATGCTTGCTCTCGTACATATGGTTTGGGTACTCGTTTACCATGGGATGATAAATGGCTTATTGAATCTTTATCTGACTCTACAATATATATGGCATATTATACAATAGCTCATTTGTTACAGGACGGGTCATTAGATGGTAGAAAACCTGGTCCTCTTAAAATTTGGTCAGTTGAATAGTTGCTGCACTTTTGTTTGTGTTTATTCATTGTTATTTCTCCCCAGAAATAATTTTAACCTTAGTTTAGGTGATATCTTGTTGGTATTCCTATCTTTTTTTAATCTTTTGTTGGTTGGACTAACAAGTACACTCTCGTTTTGTTTACTTGATTATCACACCTATTTCAGTTCTTCTGCTCTTGGCTATTATAGAATGAGTTAAATGTAGCAAATGTTTTTGTTGAGATTATAAAGCACAGAACAAAAATACATAATTTTCGGGCGATAGTGCAAAATAAATATTTGGTAATTCTGTGTTATATGTGTAACAGTCCGTTGGTTTAAGTAAAATAATTTAGCTTCGAAAATATGTGGCTACAGAATTTAGAATCTGAACTCCTATCTAACCGGCGAAAATTCAAAATGGTTATTGCATTTTCTAATATATTTATTAATATTGCAAGTTAAATCATGATAAACAAAGCTACAGACAATCTAAGATACTGTTTAACTCAAACAACTTTGTTAAAATATGCTGAAATTTGCTGTTAAACTTGTAATATATATTAAGACAAAATAAAGTAATATTTAATAATTTGTCCATAAAACTGAATTTTTTCAAGATGACATTTTTGTGTATTCATTTCTCTGATGAAGATTTAGATTTTTGAAAAGAAGAACAAAAGTGGACTCATGAATTTTTTTCTGTTACTTCAAAAACATTCCCAAATTTTCAAAATTTCCTTTTATTTAATTTGTAAATTTTTGTTACCAAAAGATTTTTTTACCGATCAAACGAGTAACCATATAGAAAAGCATTTAGGAATAGTACAGAATAAGTTACTGTTTACATATGAACGCTGTTTGTTTGATGTTTAACTATAACTGAAATTTGGAATTGTACCGGTAATAATTTTTCAGTGAATAATAAATAGACAAAATTAAATGTTTTAATGATGCATTCATATGTAACATTAGTTTCCCATGATGCATTCAGTGCAACTAAATTCAACTTGTGTACCATTTACGAATTTATCTATTCGACTTTAAGCTATGTTGCATAACAGCTGGATATTTGGTTGTTGAAACTGAAGTAGCTGAAATGACTTTCAAACCCAGTGTACCCAATGTTTAAAGTCGATTATTTCAAACAGTAACAAAGTATTTGAACAGGAAGAAGTCATTTCAGATTTTCGACAGGATTTCTTGTTTCTGTTTTCATAGCTCAAGTTTTTGTCGATATTTATGTATACATGCTTACGTTACATTCCTTTAAATATGATTTTTATCTTTTTGTTAAGGCCAGAACACATGACACCAGAAGTGTGGGATTACATATTTTTAGGAATAGGAAATCCAGAGGATTTAGTCGAAACGAAAAGTCATTCCTCTCTAAGTGTACCAATTTTGAAGAGACTTCGTCAAGAATTTCTTTTCTGGTATCCAGTTGATTTAAGAGTTAGCGGAAAGGATCTTATCTCCAATCATTTAACCTACTACTTATACAATCACATTGCTATATGGCCAAATGAACCAAATTTATGGCCTCGAAGTATACGTGCCAATGGCCATTTGTTATTGAACTCTAATAAGGTAATTGACTTTTTATACTTCGTAGTTTTTTTAAGGTTAGCAATGTCAGTTGTACTGTCATTAGTTCAAGGTTTAACAATTATCTAATATTTGTGTATATATTAATCACATTAGTGAAATTTGATAACAAGAAAAGTACCAGTAAAATAGTATGAAATGTTAGGGTAGATAAATTCTGTCAAACATCAATAGCGTACAGATCTTAATTTTTTGTTTGACGCTTTAGAATTTGTCATTTAGTAGTTAAAGCTAAATGAGGCTGGAACACGTGTTACATATGCCCAACCACCGACTGCCCCGACGTGCGATGTTTTCTGGTGTAGTAGTAGGTTGGAAGAAAGCTAGGGGCGGCCAGATCAAAACATGGCACAAGTCCATGAAGTCACTGACAAGTGGACTGAGCCATGTTGGTAGGTGTAGACTACCTGGTTGGGGACCGCGAGATGATAGCAACCGATGGTTAGAGACCCTGAATGACATGGCTCAAAATTGTTTGCAATTGCGCAGGTGCATCCACTCTTTGTGTTCTCCCAAATTCTAATCTTCTGAATTTGTCGTTTCCCTTTTTTCCTCTTTCCAAATTGATTTCACTGTATTATACTCCTTGAATAACATCCTCAAACCCTAATTTTTCTGATTACAGCTTATAATTTTACTACATCTACCACTACGGGATTTGAATCGACCACTGCATCTCTGTGCTAATGTGGTGTGGCAACTCGAACTGATGTACGTACGTACGAAGTTCTACGTTGTTACTGACTGACTAGTGCTAAATCACTCATTTTAACTGATTCATGTTTATTGGATTCTATTTGTTCACATATTCGTGTAAAACAGTTGGAGAATTACCTATTTTATGTTTAATTATATATATAACATTGACCACTGATCTTAATTTTGTTTCATACAGATGTCAAAATCAACTGGTAATTTTCTCACTTTAGCAGATGCTGTGGAAAAGTACTCAGCTGATGGTAAGTTATCTGGATTATTATTATTATTATTATTGTTGTTGGAAATTTACTATTTTCTCAACTTTAATAAAAATAAGTTGATTTAGTTGTGAGATGTGATATTTTAATTATACTTTTTGTATTTTTATCAAATAATTATCGAGTGTTTTTAATGTCGAGTTTTTTTAGATGGATAGTACAACTGAAAAGCTTTGTTATCGTTCTAAACAACGTAATCAGCGTCTACTTAAATAGTAATGATGAGTTTGATTCCTTCATAAGTATTAAGTAAATTCATTGTCATAACCTTGTTTCAAGCTGGTTGTCTTCACAGACTGTATTATCCTCATGTGTCCTTGTTTTTCCATGGAGTATTTTGTTTAGTTGACTTAAAAGTTATGTTATATCATAAAATTGATGGTCAGTCAATGGTCGCTTATTATATTCTTAGTTTTTTTTCTTTTAAGAAAATGTACCTCACAATATATATAATTCAATGGGTCCTGAAGACAAACAATTGTTTTCGCTTATTTAAATAACCGACAAAAGATTTAGGAAAAAAACATAAGTTCTTCATTAACGGTAGTGTATCAATATATCTATAGCATTTCTATTGTAAGAGTCAATATTCAGTCATTTGAACTGATGTTTTAAATGCTTCTGTATATTAGAAACAATACTTCCTTTGTTGAATAGTTAAATACGCATGTACTTTCTGTATTCCTTATAAAATACTAACAAATCGTATACGTATGTAGAAAAACACAAAAATTAATCTACTTTTTATAAAATCTATTTACTGTTTATTCTGCACTTATTTTTTCTCTCTTCCCAATAAGGTGTTCGTCTTGCTTTGGCTGATGCTGGTGATTCGTTAGACGATGCTAATATAAAAGAAGAGATGGCTGAAGCTGGACTTTTACGTTTATATGGCCTTTTGGATTGGTTTAATATGACATTGGAGATTTTAAATGATTCAAGTTTACAACAAAAATCTGATTATCGAACAGGTGCTTATACAATGCATGCAGATTTTGTTTTTGAAAAGTACGCTTTATTTAGTTTTTAATGAGTCATGAATTCATTTTTAAATTCTTAAAAAAGTCTGATTATTACAGTAGTTTTCATGTTCTTTTTCTTGAATTATAGTTCATTTAATCTTCAATTCTTAATAGTTCAATAGTTAGTATTATCTTTCTGATCATTCGAAACTAACAAGGATTCCCCCAGTAACTGTGAGTGAACAGGGATTAGCCCAACACCGAAGCCTGCGGTTAATTGATCGTGAGGCAATGTGGTGTTTAGGTTGGCTTCAGGCATTACTGCTCTACCCCAAGTCCAGCAATGAGTACGGCTTCCATTCGAAATAGATTAGATGAATAACATTGGCTTTTTATTACTCATGATTGATCATATCTTTAACATACTTAAGTTTTAAAAATTTACACTTATCATTTATAGTGACTAACTGACTTTTTTTTTAAGTGAACGGTACAATTGTCATTGAGTTTCCTCTTTATTTACTTCTGAGTAAAATTTATTTTTAAATTTTTTATTCATAGTGAAATGAATAATACGATTGAATTGGCCGATAAAGCATACGCTTCACATGAATACAGAGAAGTACTTAAAATTGTATTTTATGAACTTCAGGTAACTAAAGATACTTTTTACTAAAAATCACTTTTGCTTTTAATCATCATAGTATAAGCTTTGGTGAAATATGGTTTCTCAATTAAAAAGTCAATATAAATTATTGTGCGGTTTATATTTTTATGTTAACAAGATATAAATGTATCGTAAATCGTTACCGTAGCAACTTTCACAAATTTGGTATGCTTTAAATGAATAGTTTTTTAATCTTACACCAATCTGATTTCAGAATGTAATCTGTTCGCTTTCTAGTTAGAAGCTTAATGCTTTCTAATTTATATATGACCAGCTCAAATACTATGGATATCTAATGTATTGAATTTTTATTACTTGTATTCCAACTTAATAGTATAAGATCAACTTACTCGGTTATCAAATTTATTGTTAATGTCAGCCAACTTGCAATAGATACTTATCTTAATTAGCTATTCGTCTTTTGAACAGTGACTGATTGTTATTAAGTACAATATTTGGTCGGTTTTAAAAACTTTAACTACAGTTGAATATCATGATTCATATTTCTATGAACAGTATCTAAGTCATCTTCCTACTCGCTTAGGCAAAGAATATTCTCTTAAACATCAGCTTATGTGGTAACAATCAGAACTTAAAGTGCTTACGTTCTGTCAATATATGAATTTTTATTCTCTTTCCTTTAACCGTCATATTACTTTTTAATTCATTTCACAGTATCATTTTATTCTCGGATATTTATACAGGCACATCGTGACCGTTATCGTGAAGTTTGTCAAGGCAGTGTACATACTAATCTAATTCGACGTTATATGAATATTCAATTACTACTACTTAGTCCAATTTGTTCACATGTTTGTGAACACATATGGATTAATTTGTTAAACAACAAGACATCAATCTTTTGTGAAAAGTGGCCCGAGCTAAGTTGTCCAGTAGATCGAATACTTTTGCTACAAGGTAAAAATCACTTATTGAATGTAGTTTGATTTGTTAATTCCGTTCATGTTTACTAATTGTGCTTTTAAAATGTGGTTAGTACTTTGAGAATAAGTGCGTCATCATTAACTAATAGTTGACATAGAGATAACTTGTTTGATATATTTCTTAAGTCAGAGTGCGTATTTCACCCTCAAACATTGTTAGGAGATTTAAACACGAGTGTCCAAACCTAGTTTTTGTGCTAAATACCACTCTCTAACTTAAAGTCTTCTACATCTTGAGAAAACTGACATTCTTTGGAACTCGAATCCTTTTTTACTCAGTTATCTATTGAGAGACGTTACCACTGACTTGTTCGGTTCATGACCAATATTCTGTTGAGTTTCACTTATTGATAACCAGTTTCACGTTTTATATTCACTAATCCTGCTCAAATTCTATCAACATGGTTGCAATGTTGCTATTTGTCTGACTGAGCTAACATTTGCGTACACTTTTCGAACTCTAAGTAACAGAAGTTTTAAGTCCCTGTTTCTCACTGTCTCCTTCCATCAAAGTATAGTGCACGCAGTGTTGGATTATTTGGCCTAATGATCACATTACAACCTAATCGATAGCATTCAACCAGCGCTCATGACTAGAAATTACACTGGGTACTACTAATGGATCATTTGGTGTTAAACTTTCATATAAAAATGTGGTCCAACGTTAAGTTTGTTTGGTTACTATTTCTCAAGAATAATTAAATTATTCGGTGGATGTTTTTCTATTCATTCTTGTTTTATTTTTTCCTAATTAGGTCGTTACATAGATGATACAGCTCATACTTTTAGATTACAACTTAAACAATACCAATCATCAAAGTCTTTCAAAAGTAGTAAATCTGTTGGATCCCATTCTGTTACTCAGTTTATTCCACCTTCGGATGCTGTTGTTTGGGTTGCTAAAGCTTATCCAGCATGGCAGGTATTTCTTGATCCCGATTCATCATGTTTTCTTAGTTTATTAAGTTGGATCATATGATACCGTTCATAGCCCTCAAATTTGTACAACTGCTTTTTCTCTTTTCAAACGACTGATTCTCATTCGTAATACATTTTTCTCTCCAAATATGTGCTTGAAAGTTGAGTGAAATATATATTTACTGTAATCTTTTTCTATTTTGTTACTCACTATTACTAACTTTTTTAGGCACAAATTCTTGAAATTATGGCAGCTAATCTTTCTGACGATGGTAAAACGTTAGCAGATAATGCAACGTTAGCTCAACTTTTACGTCCTCATCTAAAGGCTATGGGTAAAATGGCAAAACGTGCTATGCCATTTGTACAATTAGTCCGGGAACGGTTTGTAATTCACGGTAAACGAGTTCTTCAACTTCAGTTGGAGGTAGATGAATGCGAAGTAATTAAAAAGAATTTATCCTATCTTATATCAACTTTAGGTTTACGACAACCTGATGGTTTAAAAGTAAGTATATTCTGACATGTTTTATGGTAAAATATCAATCTGTGCTGATGATTTTTCGATTATTTTCTGTTGTTTCTCTAAACAGTTTTGGAATACATCAAGTAGATTTCACTTGAACACCTTGTCCTTCATAGTTTTTGTCTAGAAATTTCCCTCGTTTTTTATATAGTGATGATCCCATCAATTTAAGTATTTCATTTATGTTCCTGTGTAACACATGTGAACTTAAATACAATTATTTTTAATTATAGAATATTTTGATGTAATAAATTTAGCTGAACGGATTTTTAATTAGTTGATGTCTAGTTTTTTTTGTTACTCATTCTCAGAAATTTCATTTCAGTTAGTTCAGCAATAATAAACAAAAAAGTGCATACATTTAGGTCCTTTCATTTCAAACAAAAGCTTTTAATGCAATACGTCAAACCAAATTATCAAAATTAATTATAGAACAACTATTAATAATAATATCAGTGGATAATTTCAGATCAACTGATCAAGTCACTTTCAGCCGGAAAATCGTTTCACACCTTGTACCACTTGGATATTTCATAATTTTGACTTGATAATACTGCGTTAATGCTTTCATAGTTGTGCAGGTTTTGCATTATCTCAAAAACACGTGAAAAGAAACTGGCTTCAAAGCTTTTATGTTTAGAGTAAATAATTAGCCATTAAAGTGAATGAACAAAGATTGCAAACACATTAGCAATACCGTTTTTATCGTGGATGATGTTGGCTGTGTTAACAACCGAACTTAAGTAGATATTCAAAAGGGAAACAAGTGAGATGAGAAGGATATTTTTTTGCTTGGCTATGGTGGAGTTTTGTTCTCTGGGCTAGATGGTTTGTTCGTGAAGTTTTCATCGTTCTTCTGATCGACATCCTCACAAACTTCATCTAGAAGTGAAGAGTTCGAATCTCTCCACGTGAACACATAACTTGTCGTGTAGACCTCGATCTTGATTGGTTATTTTTGGCCTTTAACCTGTCATTGTTTACTTTTTTGCCTGGTTAATTCCAACTCGACTTTACAAATCACTCACTTTTCCATGAATATATACTTAATGTGATGTCTTCATCATAAATTAGTTACTTTTTGTAACCTCATGATTAAACATGTATTGTTTTACTTCCTCTGGTATTACCCAGTTCCATTTTTCGTTTAAAAAACAACTTATCAATACTATCGTTTCCAAATTAACACTTGAAAGATTGACTAAAGTTAAGAATTAGACATGAATTATCAAAAGAATACAGGCATAGGAGATTAGGTTATCTAACTGTTCTTTTGTTAATTACTGATAATTACTCGCTTGATATAACTATTGGCTTTGGGTTTACAACTTGAATTTAAAGCATATAATGATCCTAAACCTACTCAGTGGATTCTAAAAGTGAATGGTTTTTGCCGGAGTAGCTTTAAAATACTAGTCGGCGATTAAAAATTTAGTGGACTGATCACATTAATTCTGTCGGTATTGGATTCACAATATCTTTAAAATAAAAAATTAACTAAATCCTAACACGAAAAACACATTATTATCTTTAATTTTTATTGGTGTATGGAATTGACGCTGATAAAACGCTCTTAGAGTATTCCTTAGGTTTGAATGCAATGTCAACAGTTCCCAAAAGTGATTTATAACAGTTTTCACCGCATGGGTATTCACTTAATAATTTATTATTTTTCATTTTTGCGGCGTGAGCGTACAGCCGTAACTGCTTCTTGATAGATAATTTACCATATTTTTATCTATGTCAACTGTCTCATCTCTTCATAAGCTAAAAAGCATCACATATCAATAAACATAAATTATTCGTAACATTCAATTATAGTGTATAAAAATGTTAATGTCGAACGTGTATATAAATTTAATTTAATCTTTGAATTATTATGGATTCCAATTATAGTGAGCCGAATCTTTCATCAAATTTTTCGTCAGTTGCCTTTTAAAATTTAAACCTGATAATTGTCACGGTCGATTACCATTATTTTTTAGATCAACTACTCATGTGACTCTAATGATAGTCGTATTGAAGAAAGTGTTTGTCCTTTAGAGCCTCTTATTTTGTTTTGTGAACCATCTACCTCAGCATCCATGACGTTTTTAAATCCGGATATTGGTTCAGGTCTCTTTACACTTAATGGTGTTACTATTTTTGACGGCGACACATATACCGATGTGGTCTCACGTGTAGTCACTCACTGTCGTTCACTTGCGTTAAACAGTAAAGGTAAAAGTTTTTTGAATTTTATTATCTGAATTATTCAAATTCGTGACTTTTCGTAATTTGATTGAGTTATAATTTCAAAACCACATCAAGAGTATATATTGTGTATTAGTTATATGAAGAAGTACATAGTCAAACCTATTATGAAATAGCTGAGTTTAAAATCTTGGATATTGTATTCTTCACTATTGATAGCCCTCGAAAAGTTGTCACTTTCTCAACACACCAGTAAAGACATCAGATAAATGATCAAAAGCACATTCGTATATTTTATACTCAGCTTATCTCATTATGTATTCTACATATTAAATCATGATGCACTACATATAAAAAGTCATAGCGCACACACAGCTGGGTCATTTTCATCATAAAGTCAAGTAACCCATTTTTAGCTAATTAACTGTAATTTGTAAATAGTATAAGGTTTAGAAAGTTCTTGAGTCAAATTAAAGCTTTGAAGTCGGAGTATTAAGTATTAATACTGCTTCAAACTGACCAATAAACACTCATCAAAAATACACAAACTATTCTCCTTGTGAATAGCTCCTCAAGTTTTTTTCACAACTCCTTCCTAGTATATATATATGTAAAGTGATCTCATGTACAAAAACACTTATAATATTCCACGTAACTATCTCACGTATAAATCATTTCCCATCTAAAATTTATTAAACAATTGATTTGAATCTTGATTACTACTTATTCATTGCTCTGATCAGCTGTCTGTTAGCAGAGACCTAATATCTGTCCGCGTCAAACTATAGTTTGTCCTTGATTTTTAGATACTGAAAAAATAAACATAAATCCTTGGTTTATATTATATATAACTACCACTCCAGCAATTGTTGGAGTCAATTGGAATTTATTCAGCTGCTTAAACGAAGTGACTTATTCTGTGAATACAACTTTCCTCTTATTTACTCCAGTCTAATTTCTGATTTGTGTTTTTCCTGTTTTCTCTTTTCTTAAAGACTTAAAAAACATAACATTGTACCGTTTTACCGATCCTACATGCGGACATTTACGCGTTCCTCCTTACCCTATGGAAGCTTTACAAATTGTCCAGCCAACAGCTCGTTTTGTAGTCGATGCATCATCCATCATAACTCTGAAGATTGGTAGTGATTTTATTCCTATTGGCAAAAAGCTTGTGTACACAACTACCGTGTCGTCATGATCATCTACTAGAATAAAGCTTTTTATTTTTGGGTTGCTTTTTATACAGTGTGTTTAGTTCATTCAGGGATTAAAAATATCTATCACCGATTCGTGTTCATTATGATTTTTGTATTGGCTTTATATACCGTCCTGTACAATAATCAAAATAAGTGAGCAGGTTTGTGAATTCATTCATTGCAGTTTGTGGATCTACTGACTGAATTCACAGGACTACTCAAGATTCCAAATTACGAAAGGTGAACAATTTCCAGCATATTCTTAATGGTAGTCGATTCTAGGTATGTACCTGATCAAACCTTTCAATAGGAGTCTTGTCAATCCCTTGCGAATTAATCCAAACTTTAGAGTAAGGAATTGAAGACGTGGTTCTCTTGTAAAGTTGAGATACAGCTTCTTGATAATAGTTCTTGGTGCTGCTGCTAATTGTTAGTTACTAGGGTGATCACTTTAAAATAGTATGTCTTGCAGACTCAGCATTCTGCCAACCTTCATCTACCAGTGTTAGTAGGATAATCTGTTAGATCTTTCGTAATTTTATAATCTACATACCGAAGAACTGGGTTTTATGCAGTCCTGTAATATCATATATACGAGTCTTAGTATGCTAAGTTCAGTTGCCATGCTTTCTGGGTTCACCCATTGATAAGATGAGGGAAATCTCATCCGACCACCAGGGTTCGCAGTCACCAACATTACTCATCGTTCATTCGAATTTCTAGCTTCCAGTGATAATACTTGCCAGGCTGTATTTGGCGTTTGTGGGAATGTGACTACATTTTTACCATCTGTATTATCACCACAGTCCGTCGGGCAAGCACATTTCTGTCCAAACATGTGGAGGGCTCGTCTGGTGGTAGTAAACTTAATAAGATTGTAGAGTTGTTGAACGGACAATTCCTCAGTCCAACTATCCCAACCTCAGGAAAATAGTTGCCCGATGGCAAGTCGTTGATCGACTAACATGAACAACGGTTGATTAACCAACATTGTGGGGAGACATGATTTGGACATTAATGGTTACACCATGTTAATCTGATGTCAACGTTTTGTGCTTAAGATGTGTTTTGAGAGCTTGACAGCCAGATTACTGGATCTGAGTGGGACATGTAAAGAAATCATTTGGTAATGTTGCCTCAACGTACTATTAGCTAATTTAGGCAGTTACATCCTAATGAGTTGTAACTGGTTATCAAGTGGCATAAATGAAAAGCATCGATTGTAGGTCAGAATACATGGCTTGTCCACATTATTGCCCATCTGACTCAACGGCATCTGCGGAAGTCATTTGAAGCCACTTATAAGGATGAGCTGTAACAGTTATTTTACCTTCAAAAGCTCACTATGTGTAGGAGACACTTAGGTTCGTGCTTGATTTAGTGACTTCTTTACATAATTGTCGCCTAAGAATTTATGTGGATATTCATTTCAAAATATATTTGTTACAACACAGTTTTCGAATACGACAAAACAGTAAATTAACAAGAAATGGAGGGAAGCACTGAGGAATATTCTTGTGTAATAGTTGCAAAACGAAAACAGGCATTGTAAAGTTATGCTATTCTTAGCAAGAAGTGGATGGTCAGAAACTACTAAGATGACACGAAATATAGACGTACAGACGTAAAGTTGTGTTCACAACTGATGACTCAACAAGTCACACTATCATGAGATTCACAAAGGTATGGATATTTATTTTATTAACGTAACAGAAAAGAAACAACGTTTTAAAAGCTGTATCAATGTCAACTTTGTGCCCCGTTTCAATTATATGTTTCGCTAACATCTGTAACCTGATGAAGTAACAGTCAAGTTCCGTCATTCTGGCTTCAACTTCATTTGTAAGATGAAACCAAGATAATTCAGTTGTGAAAGGAAACTCTACAGCAAATGGGTTCGGACCCCTATCCTCTGCTCAATTTAAGGGCTGACTAGGAACTTACTGTGTACAGTCTCATGTACTAACAATTAGTTTACAGACGTAAAGGAATTCGGACAATGAATAGCTCTGTAAATCTCCAGCATTGATACTGACATTATTTGTCTGACTGAACAGACTACTAGGTAGAAGCGTTCGGTCAAACATCTACACCAGATCCTGCGCGGGTACGCTATATTGCGTAGGTCGTGTATCAACTAGTCAGCTTAGATTCCATACGCTACGATAGATGGAACTATGCTAAAAATATATATCATCACTGACTTCTGATTTGATTTTGGGTAAATAATTAACAGATTATTCTATGTGGCGACGTTAAAAATAACGTATCTGTAACATTGTAAAATTATGGTCTACTTCGTTGTTAGTACTGCTCCAATAATAGACCTAATCCCAAAATTGTAGATTTGTCTTCATGTAACTGCCTAGTCTATGAGAACTTACATGGGAGTCACATCATTGTCTACACTGATTCATCGTTTCGTAACAATCACCAATATGTGATGAAAAACATCTTTTAGGCAGGAGATAGAACAATATATTTAGTGTGAATAAAAGTGAGGAGTTACACAAGCATGACCACGACTGCAAGGCCGAGTCATGCCGTTCGCCGAATTTGAATTTATTCTGCCAGCCTTCTCTATCATTGGATTTTTCTGCGCATTTAATATATATCTTCCTAGTTGTCTCGTGTTTAGCTTTGGGGATTGTGTGGTTAGTGCCTAATTCCACTACAACCTCTTCAACTTTGCGTCTCAAACGGTTCACAAGTGTTTTCTTCGAACTACGATCATGCAGAAGCACAAATATAGGTTGCTTGGGATGATTAGATTAATATAAATGGAATCCAAACGATTTGTCAATAAAATCTCATTCAAATGGTTGAAAACAGATCGTGGCTAACGAAAGATTAGGCATATTGAACGACCAGTAAAATATCTAAGGAAATGAGGAGATAAAACTTGACAGTACTCGGAATAAGCGGAACCCATTGGTCTGACCATGGACAGCAAAGGATAGATTCGAAAGAGTTGCTACTGACTTGTATTCCATATTATTCCGTCTGTAGCTCTTCTAGAGTTGCTGCATGTCCCAAGACGAGGTGAAGGAGGAGGGTTGGACATGGAGTCGGCAACCTCATCCCGTAGAAAACAACCTTGTTAAAAAGCGCTAACCAGATTGAATAATTTAAACTCTCCCCTCCAGGTTGAAGGAAGAATTATGACACCTCATGATGAAAGCTCAGATTCTTCGGAAGTCACGAGGCCGATGACCCTTCTAATATCCAGAGAAACCATTAATATAGGTACATGGAATATCCGAACAATGTGGGAGACCAGGAAGACCAGTCAAATAGTTACGAAAATGAGGAGATACAACTTAGCAGTACTCGGAATCAGCAAAACCCATTGGACTGATTCAGGAGAGCTGCTACTGTACTCTGGTCACGAGGAAGGAAATACTGCACACACTCAGGGAGTTGCTCTAATGTCCAAAGAAGCAAGAAATGGGCTCATAGAATGGGAATCTCATGGATTCAGGATCATCAAAGCATCCTTCAAAACAAAGAAGAAGATAATTACAATGAATGTTATCCAAAGTTATGCACCCACCAATTATGGAAATGACAACGATAAAGATCGGTTTTACAAGAGGCTGCAATCAATCATAGCGAAGTGCCCAGGAAAGGACCTGACAATGCTAATGGGAGATCTAAACGCCAAAGTTGGAACGGAAAACTACGGTTATGAAGATATCATGAGACGAGATGAACTGAGAGAAAAAACGAAAGCGATGGAAGATTTGCAAATCTATGTGCATTCAACAAAATGATTATAGGCGGCACAACATTCCCACACAAACACATGCATAAAGCTGCATGTCTTTCACTGGATTACACAACGGAGGACCATGTAGATCATATTTGTATCACTAAATGTTATGGATGCGGTCACCCGTCACAACAATTGGCGACGGGGTAGAGAAAATTTTGAACCCTGTAATTGGACGAGATTCAACCTAATTATTTTTGCCAATCAACATTCAGATTGATCGTTGGTGTTCTTGGAATTCATTGGTTGTTGATTGATCACAGTATTTCTCATTACCCTGCTGATTCAGAAAATGACTATCCTTCCCGATCAATTGCAGCTACTACTTGATCGTCAACAGCAGCGTTTCAGAGAGAGCCAGTTGAATATTTCGGACAATTTACGCACGCGACTGCTAAATCTTCCATGTTCCGGAGATGTGAAAGAAACTGATGAATTAATTTCTCACTTGCATACTGAACTCGAAAATGACTGCAGGACGTATGAAGATGAAAACAAAAGCCTCTATGAATCCCTGATGGTCAGTAATGCAAACGAGGCAGTCGCTCATGATCCGTCCAGCGATCCAGAAATGTCCAATTCAGAAATATGCCCTGTCGTGGGTTCAAATCCCACTGTGCCCGAAACATGTACAGACAGTGAGGCATCCAGCTCACAAGAAGAACCCGTCGTGCCAGAAAATGTGTCCCATGCATCAATCAATGGTCAGAAATCTAATACAAATTTCAAAGATGCTGTTTATTTTAGTGATCTATTATCCACTAATGGAATTTTGAAGAGGTCTGATGAACATGTTTCACAAGAATCAAACCCTAATGACCTCATATCTAGTGTCGCTGATCCTCATCATCTAGTCAGTTTTAGTGGACGCTCTACCCAATGCCGGAAATATGCTTTAAATAGAATCAGACTAACTGTTACTTGGGTATATGATGACCCAACATTATTTCGCGGGGGAGGACGGACGTAGAAAATTTTAGAAATCCGGATATCAACTCCGGATCTTCAAAAAAAGGGTGTTATGGATGCAGAATAATATACCAATCATTATCATGTTAAGTCTAATGATGTCCTTGGACCTTAAATGGACATTCCCTATTGGCCATTATTTATTTCATTCGTTAAATATTGTACAAATGTTGTTTTCTATTTTTATAGTACGATGTGGTCTGTTTGGTTAGTATATAAATAGAGTATGTCTGAAATACAATGATTCATAACTCAGAGGCTGTGACTTGCGTTCTAGATTCGACTGGCTGGGCTAGACAGGGGAGCGGGACCAATCGGGACACTAGGTCGTCCTTACGTGTTTTACTTGTCACTGAATCGATCAATAAAACGCTGCGCATCTAACCATCTAACCAGTTACAATGCTAAAAAATTTTAAAGGTCAATGGAAGACGTGAGAACCAAGGGCGGAGCTGACATACCTTCAGATCACCACGTAGATGTGACCAAAATGAAACTGAAGCCGAAGAAGTACTAGACAACTGGAGAAACAGAAGTACAAAGGCTCAATACAGCCTTCCTTCGAGATACTGACAAATTTAACGAATTCATGATAACTCCTAACAACAGGTTCCGAACCTTACGGGATCTACTGAAGGAAGAAGAAACTATTATGGAGAATGACTGGGAAGGTATCAAATAAGCACTAGCTTCAATGTGTTAGGAGGCTCTTCCCCTTATATTGAATGGATCTTTATCGAAAGCCTGAACATGATTCAAGATAGGAAGAACAAGAAGACAGCAATAAACAACAGACGAACACGAGAAGAGAAAGTCAAGGCACAGATTGAATACACTGAAGCAAATAAGCTGATGGAGGGGAGCATTAAAACTGGCAAGTGGAAATACGTGGAAGGCCTAGTGACGACAGCGGAAAAAGGTGCAACAGAATGAGATATGGAAGAGCTATATAACACAACGAAGAAACTAGCAGGGAAATATAGTAAACCAGGGCGACCAGTCAAGGACAAAGAAGGCAAGATAATCACTGAGATTCAAGAACAGAGGAACAGATGGGTAGAACACTTTGAGAAACTCTGGAATTGGCCAGCTCCATTGAATCCATACATTCCCATAGTCGTCACTCCATCAACGATCGAATAAATCAGGATGACCGGTCATCAGACAAATCAAGAGTGGGAAAGCAGCAGGACCTGAAAATATACCAGCTGAAGGACTGAAATCAGGTATTGAGGCAACTGCATCTATACTTCACGTTCCATCCAGGAAAATTTGAGAGGAACAACAAATGCCGACAGACTGGAAAGAAGGATACCTCTTCATGATACCGAAGAAAGGAGATCTGAGCAAGTGTGAGAACTACCGAGGGAACACTACTATCAGTATCGGGAAAAGTTCTCAACAGAGTGTTTCTGAACCAGATTAAAGATTCAGTAGACACCGAACTTCGAAATCAACAGGTTGGATTCCGTAAGGATCGGTGGTGCACAGACCGAATCGCGATAATACAGATCATTGTTGAACTATCAATTGAGTGGAACTCGTCACTATATGTCAACTTCATTGACTATGAGAAAGCATTTGACAGTGTGGATAGGGGAATCCTAATTTCGTAATTATGTCTTCAATATTATAGTTTGTAAGCAGCTGATGAGAATCAACGAAAGAAAATGGGTTCATGCTACTTTGTTAGAATTTTTGTTCTTGCTCTTTTCTAAATGACAAAAGGAACTGTGTGTATGATGTTTCTGTCTTTTTGTTTTCTCTTTCTCTATTCTTTCCGGAGGTATCTATAAAGATCCATTCTTTCTGCTAATTCTTCTTGTGGCCCTGCACTTTCTGGGCTGTGCATTTAGTGTATGAAGGACAACTGACAGACTCATTCGAAGTGAAAACCTTAGTCAAACAAGGTTTCCTACTCTCTCCCTTTTTCTTTCTTCTGACGGTTGATTGAATTATGGAAACCACGATATCTGAAATAAAGCATAGAATACAATGGATATCTCGAAATCAACTAGAAGAGTTGGAATTCACAGACGACTCAGCTCTTCACTCTCGTTTACACCAACGAGTGCAGGTCGAGAAAAACAATGTAGCAGCAGCCTCTGCATCAGTAGACCTCAACATGCAAAAGGGAAAAAGCAAGATCCTTAAATGCAACACGGAGAACACCAGCCAAAGAAGTACTAGACAACTGGAGAAACTGAAGTACAAGGGCGTAATACAGCCCTCTTTCGGGGTACTGACAAATTCAACGAATGAGGGACCTCTGGTTTCATGCGAAATATTTCTGACTTCGAATCGTAATTAGCAAGTTATTCGTCTTTGGTGGTCAGTCAGCTGTCCCGGAATCCTTCTTAAATTTTCTAAATGTAGTATATATTGTTCACAATAAGTGGTAAGTAATTCATAAGCTTGGATTGAAGATTTATCGTCTCTAAACAACGAATTACAACACTCGAAAATAAGAAGTTTATTGCCTGTAATACTCGGAGTAGTAGTAGGCTTGATTACGGTATTGAAATTTATTGACTTTAACTTTCCAACTGAAATGGTGGATTTGATACTGCTAATGTCAACAATATAACAGTAAAATGCACCACTGGACAGATGTTATCGCTTTTTAATATAAAGTGGATTAATTGAAATTGTAAATGAGAAAAGTATATAACCATTAGAATCACCCGAAATATTAGGGTCCGGATCACAGAGTTTGGTACTTATCTAATCGAAATGAACAATATTTTTACAAACTGACCTGATGTGTCCAATTTCTTCACACTGCTGCTACAACAGACTGGTCGATCAATACGAGCTCAGCAATTGGGGAATCATGATCTATATTTAAGTGTACGACTGGTTTTCTTACGTCCTTATTTATACCGCGCTTAACATCACGAAGACGGAATAACTACCCAACATAGTTGATTACAGGGATTAAAAGAGTTTTTCAATGTAGGATATTGTATTGGAATATGTATAGTTCTACAGGCTCCAAACAGTACGGACCCACTTATCATAAGACTTGGGACTCACGTAAGGGGTCGATTGTGAAGACCAGACTCTTGTACAGAAAAACAACTGGTTAAGGATTCTGAAAATAAACCGGAATGATCGTTCCCATGTATAAAGAGGCGATGCCAGATAAGTGATGGGACCCCGCTACTTTTGATGCTCAAAGTCCGTTGACATTTAGAGTGAAGAAAGTCGAGAGACCTGATACCTTATTAGATTATTTTAGCGATGCGCTTTTTGCTAACCTTGGTAAAAGACCAAATATCGATTGCAGCAATGGCGTTCCATCGACGGATACCGTGTATATTGAAAAAAAAGTTATCTCAATATTACTTCAATATGCCAAACTAGATGTATCTTTGTGGTACTGACGATATTAATCTAAGGATTATGAGAGCTCTGATGACTTAAAAACTACGAGCAAGTGTGAGACCAACTCTTCTAAATGCCCCGGGTTCAGATGAGTTATTTGTAAGTCATTTTGTCACTTGGATGAAGAAATTTTCAGAGTATTCTATACGACGTGTGTGAGGCCGTATTTAGAATAGAGTTCAGGCAGCGGGTTATTATGAAGACCGACTGAGATGCCTCAACCTAATCCCGTTATCCTAGCACAGGCTAAGGCGTGATGTCATATTGGTATACTGAATTGATACTGAAAGATGAATTTGTCATTAACATGTCTTATCTTTTTTTTTAAATGTGGGACTTATCATCCAAGGGGACATTTTAAGAAAGTTTCAAAACGGTGATCAAATCTTCCATCTATAGGGTTTCATCTTTCCCATTGAGTAATAAATTATTGGGATTCTGCACCAGAACACGCATTAATGTCACCTTTTGTTGATACGTTCACAGTACTACAAATTTTAAGGGCGAATATAGATCTCTTAACCATCTGTCCCTACTACTGACGACTAGTCTTTTAGTCATTGAATGAACGAAACTCCTCATGCGATAAATTTAATAAAAACATTCCAAATGGGTGCAGCATAACTCCATTCTCATGAAATCACAATAAGCTAGGCGTCTTCTGTTTCTATCGACAAGCATTTGAATAATCTTTTTTGTTTGTCTTACTTGAAAGGTCGTCTGAAGATTATGGCACATTCCTAAAGTTTGCCCTTAACAGTTATTTAGTGTTTATTATGCATCAAAAGATGACTTATATATGGAAAAATTTAATACTCATATGACCCAACACACACGGCAATTGAAATACGGAATGCCCGCTTCCAGTCAGCGCGTTCAAGGTCGTTGAAACGAAACGGCGCACAGTTTTGAAAGGGATTACCGTTTTTACCTTGCCCTTGAAGTTGCATAATGTAAACTCAGTGTGATGGGCAAGGCTAGTCATGTAACTCTGAGCCTTTGGCCCAGGGCAGAACCGTTCGCATACGGTATCTTTCAAGTTCATCCTCATCCAAGACTTGCTGTTCATGTAAGAATGTTTCCCTAAAACATTTAAACCTTGTTATGTGTTTTAGAACATCAAAAAGCTTGTTACTTATGCAAAAAACAAAAGTAAAACTGGATCAAGATTAAGGTAGATCATCCTAATTTTCGATAGGTCGATTTACATTACTCAATAGTTATTCTGTTTGGAAACATGTAGCATGTAATAAGCTTCAGCTAACTGAGGATTTGGCTTGGGTGTATGTTTGATTTTAAGTTATACAACTATTTAGCCTCTTCCACACATGCTTAACTATGTCGGCGACACAATATGATAAGCTTAAGGATGTTGATGAAAGGATATTTACTGCAGCAAATTCAGCAGATGCCGGTAGTTACACGTTTTCAGATCTACATGGTTTATAGAGAGGATTCGTACTTCACAATCCGTTAATTTGTTCACATTTGTACTCTTTCTGTACATACAACAAATAAACAAGATATCACTGCGAGCTTCAGCAGTGTCAGCCAATGCTGAGTTAGTTTTCTGGGATCTTATTATTTATTCTGCTAGGTGGCCTGGTAGTTACAGTCGTTCATCCGATTTGGATTCAGGTCGTTCAACTCCTATCAGACTATGTCGCGTAATTGTATGAATTTGACTTTCAGTTTTCAGAATCTAGATGAGCAATATCATTTTCAATTTATCAGTGAAAATTTGAATGAAATGCTTGATCTCCTTGTTGAACCCGGTAATTTTTATTTGTTGCTTATGTTTATGTTGATATGATAACAGTCAGGTTCAAATTGATTTGAAAGTGAGTAGCCTACAAGCTAACTCTTCTCAATCGTCTGTTAATTTACGTTTATTTTATGTTCATATTTTATGTATAAGCATGTCATTTTATCACAAAACTTTTTGTCTGTCTAGTTAACTTGTCTTTAATTTCTGGTCATTCGGGGCATGCTCCAATAATTAATCCTTGTGAGCAGCTGTCACTACCAGAAATGATTACATTCAATTAATAAGTATTCTAATGATTGAATTAACAATAAATCCGTCAATTAATTGATTACTGAGTAATGTATGTCGTAACATAACAGTACCGCATAGTTGCTGAGTGCTAACTTCGTGTTAACCAGAAATAATCAACGCAAGGTGAACGTTCAGAGTGTATAGAAAACGTGTGTATTAATAACAATATAAATGTACTCAGTGTGTTGAATTAAAACGGATTCTCATTTACACTTATGTCTAAGTATTTACTGTTCACAGCAAAAAATCTTAGTTGTCTCTTACCACATTTCCCTAGATATAATGCTATATATATTGTCTTAATAATTGATGTAAATTTGACTGTCATCTAGTCACGTTTAGAAATCACATCCAGTCTCCTGTTTGCGTTCTCGAATTTCTGTTTTTCTGGTTTGCTTTATTACTTGTTTTGGTTTTCATTATTTCTCATGGCACATTAATAGATTACTACCGGTTGCAAAATGGGTTCTTGGTTCAAAACACGTACTATGTGTGCACATTACTTACCGTTTTGTACTTTATATTCAGATAACCAAGGTGGAAATAGTATGGATGCAACATTGTCTGAAGGTGCTGTCGAAGCTTTGGATCTTATTTTGGAAGGATCAGCTGATGAAGGAAGGTGCGGCTACTTTTATGTACTTTTAACCTTACTTTATTTCAGGACGCTTAATTCATTTTCAGAACTTGTCCATATACCAACAATTCTTCCAGCAACTGGTTATTCCAAGGTATTTCTTTGTTATTTGTTTATCATTCTAAAAGCAACAAAAGCCCACAAAAATTTACTTTTGTCGTCATATTGTGTTTATTTACTTGTTAATATAGAGGCGCACGCTGTTCATATCCCACCAATATGTCTTGTATAGGCAATGTTGACGAAAAATATTCGTTTAAGGCTTTATTATTACACGGTTCCTAAATTGTTGTTATTTGTGGTAGTATTCGTAATGGTTTTTTTCGCGAAAATTCCAACTCCATTTAGATGGTGTTACCGGATGTTTGATGCCGGTTACCTCAAATCCTTATTTGGAGATCGATGTCAATCGCTTTGTGGTGAATCGTAGCTTTACTAATATTTTCCAAATTAATCACAGCTGTCTATATCGTACCATAATCTAAGATAGTTATTTGCAATATATAACTGTACTTTATCAGTCACTTCCTCATTTTGGTTATTCCCAGTCACCTCATTTTCTTCAAACTATGTAAAACCTTTTGTAGGTTACACATGCTTTCCATTTACGTGGCCTTCTTTCTTGGATACGTTCATGGTTAACACAAAACCCGTTTTCGGTTGAAAACTGTATTCGAAATGGTCGACGTTTACAGTGGCGTCTTCCTCATCAGGTTGTCTTGGACAATGAGTCTGGTTTGAACAATACTCAGCAACAGCCACAGAATGATATCATAAAGCGTCAGAAGATTGCAACAAACGCACACCAAGTTCCACGAACTGGAGGTCACAGTGGGTAAGCTTATGGAGAATTCATACCTCACTATTTAGAAAACGGTTTCCAGTTGTTTGAAATCATGTATATTGTGTGGTGCTTCATTAAGTATACGAAAAATGTATACTTTGAAGCTTTTTCTATTGATAACTACAGCCTGATATAGGCACTTTGCGGTCCACCATCATCATATTCAGTTTTTAGCCCGATAGGGCGATTTAAAAAACGTTCCACCTATGCACCAACTTACATATTTATAGTGCATCGTTTTTCACATATACTAAGTCGTCACTAAGTTGTTAAAAATCTTGTTTAGTGACATTTCTTCAGTCAATTTTTCATACATGTTTTTAATTGGATATTCTAGAAACAAACTGGTTGTCATGTCGATGATTTCTCGCCAAATTATTGCTCGCGTAAGTTTATTTTAACCTTAAATTGTTTACTTTTTGCATTGATCCGTACAGTTTTTTTTATACAGAATGAGAGAGTTTAGTTATTATTGAGTAATTTTACTGCTACCATGTTAAAGTACCATAAAAAATATTTTGGAACATTGTTGGATTCAGTTTCCAAAATAGTAACCTTTTCTATCGATCAATAAAAATGCTTCTCTGGTGTCTGTTGTTTTATGGATTCTCTGTGTAACCGTTTGATATTAAGAATTCTCTGTCGATATTACTTTAACAAATGGAGATGGCAATCCAGCAGTTGTATTTACAATTCACCAGAAAACCTAATTTGTTTTAAATTCATACCACTTAATGTAACGGATTCTACTAGTTAGTAAGAGCAGATTTGTTGTCTAATTAACTCCAGACTTTTGACTCGTGTTATATGCAGACTGGTTGTCGTCACATTTAAAATGGAATTTATTTTGAAGGCTGCCAAATACATATAACTTTATTTTTTATTAAGGTTGTTTAAATATGACAGGAGTAATGAGTGACATAATACTACAAATCTACATCAGTTTAATTTTGCATTTTACAACGGCACATAAAAATAAGTAAAATCAGAAAAAAATATTGAAATAAACTGATAGAATGAAGTAGGCAATCATAACAATATAGATGCGGAGTCATAAGATCTTTTCAACCTAGAAAAAAATACGAACTAGAAAGGTTTGTGTCACTATTCTCGATATATTTTAATTATCAACTGGGAGTGCTTAAGTTATATCTAAAACTTCTTGAATTTCTCTTTACGTGTAACGACTTGGTTTGTCTACATTCACAAGTACTTATCGCTCAGTATCAAAATTCTCCTTGAAATCATTTTATTTTGATTTTAGAGTTCTGCTACACTTGATGGTGCCACGCTTAAAATACATCGTGCCCATTGTAGTTATTTATATCTCTTGTCACCGATGAGGTTAGTTTATCAAAGTTAATATATCCTTGTGGTGGATTTCTATAAACACTTTTGGTCATGTAATATGATATTTTTCTTACCACATTTTTATTTAGTAAATGTAGAAATTTACCACTGCGGCTTCCTAATACATGGTTTTTCGCTAGATTTATCGACTAATATTTGGTGATTCTAGTTTATCAATGTCAGATATAACAGAGTGCCTACTAGCGCTCTGAAATGTTTGATAAATAAATAACCGTAAACCAAACTATGCCAGTACCTCGTTCTCATTCATAATTAACTTTATTCTTTCCTATGCTCATGATAATTTTCATGTAATTCGTTTCTGAAAAATTGATGATCATTACTTAGATATTCTAGTAAAGTTTGAACTGGGACTTCTAATTTAATCCGAAATTCGTGTTTTATCCTATTTGGGTCTCTTGTTCCGGTCATAACTTTATTCCAGAATCGTTGTTCACTCTAAAACTGAAACCTAATACTTTTTATGCGATTTCTAATGGACTATCCACCTAGCTACAAATTCCAGATAGCCATTGATCTGCCAAACAAGTTGACATTATGGATTGCATTCGATCAGTCTCCACTGGTTTTTATGCATCGTAAGCAAGGTACTTTGAAGTTTCCGTTCGTTACAAAATTTTCTACCATAAAATGACGAGTTTTAAATAAGATGAAGCATGCGTCTCCGATAAAACTTAGCCACTGTGACAAATTTACTTAAAACTTGTAACTAGTGGCAGTTTTAAGGCACTCCTTTGCAGATGTACATACCAGTGGGGACTGTTTAAATGCAGTTCATAATATAAACGATGAGAAGACTGAAAACCTCAGATACCATACCTGTCCCCAAATGCTCATGATACGGCCAAGGGTGGAGAGAGTCCGCTATCCCTCTCAAAATCCTCTCATATAATCACTTTCATGGAAGTCCTGTTCACTACCTTCTCGCGGTGAGGGTATTTTTTGCAACATCGAGAAGACAAAAAGTTTATATCTGGCGCCTGAACCGAGTTAGTGGCTACGGAGGACCACATGAGCTCCAGTGTCCTGAGGGTACAAATAACGTATGGCTGTCATGAGACCACATCTAACGTTACTCCTCTGTCTTGTGGATTGGACCTCCCGATCAAAGGTTCGCTGAGTGGCCCCTTAAGAAAACCGCCCATTTCGGTTTAGTCACCTGGGCAGTATCCCAGTCCACACAAAAACTGAGTAAGAACTACTTCGTGTGGCCCATACATATTTTGGTGCCCTCTTGTACCGATGTTTATTTGTTTAAATGAATAAAATAAGATACAGTATCTAGACATACCTGGAAACTTTTCAACTATCTAACACAAACTACTGATACAAATGTTCTAGTAGTTTCACGTTTTGATGATAATATTTTTCTGGTACCAACTACCATATATGAATGCTTATTATCAAGAAAGATGTAGTCAAAACCCAAAGTTATGTTAGTCTAATCGAGAAGTATATTTCATAGGTCTCAATTTTTTTATTGTATCATTATGGGCGTCAGTTTATGTAATTATCAGTGAAAATCACTAAGTACGTGCTTATACACATTCTGTTTTGATCCACGGTATTTGTACATGGGTTAGTGATTTTATTCCGTTTCTGATACCTAAGGAGGTTAATTAGTGTTCGGACTACTCTCCAACGATTGTAAGCCAATGCAACCCCTTTGGATTTGTTGTTTTCCAAAATTGTTGAATTACAATTATGTTCATTTATTAATTTACGATATCTACACGAGTTAGTAAATTACAGTATATATGGTAGAACAGTCCGTTTTTAGTATCCGCTGTTGATGTTGTATTAGTGACGAGTTTAATAAAGGGTTTTGGTGAAACTATATGTATAGTTTTCCTTTTAAAAACATCCATTAAGTGTTTTTATATTTTTTTCGTATGGTAGGTTTATTTCTGTCTCCAGTCCTTTCAGCTGACTTTTCAAGACATTGGATTTTTTACTTTACATCTTGTTCTTTCCAATGGCGATAAAAGTACTGCTAACATAGTAAATTCATACACTTGCATATAATTAGCTTCCAGTTCCGTTTATTTTAGTATTTTAAAGCGTGTTGTACATAAATGTATATCGTTCGTAAATTAGTAACAAAGATGCTATCAATTCACTATCGGTTGTTTGTATAAAGCCTTGTTTTATATTAGTTACTCTTAATATCTGTTTGCATCTGAATCTTGAGGGAACGCTGTTGTGTAATTAACATCTCAAGTCTTTTTACGAGGCCATTCTATTGTTTTTAGTAATGGTTGGATCAGACAGTCGACAGCCGCAATTATATTGTTCAGTGTTATAGACAACATTGTATTCTATTTATTTATATAACTAAGTAATATTTAGACTGTATGTTGTATCTTCTGTCAAGAATTCCTTAAATACTTTTTGTAGGTCTGTTACACTAGATAAGTGTCGCAAGCTGACTATTGTTTTGGGACCGATTGAAAATACTCTCCAACTTAACCATTGTGAAGACTGTTTGGTTATTGCAGCCTGTCGTCGTGCTGTCTTGGCTTATTGTCGTCGGTGCACATTGCATTTAGCTATACAATCCCGTCCAATATTGATTCAGCCCCCTGTTCCAAACACTATCAGTGGATCTATGATTATTTCAAATATTCCTGGAAATAATTCGGGTACAAATACTTCTACCCCAGGCACCCCTACGCCTGGTAGTGTAGCACTGGTTGGTAATGAAGAAATCTTGTTGGCTCCCTTTCATACAACGTATATGAAACTTGTAGATCACCTAAACAAGGTGAACCTTAGTCCGAAAGTGAATTATTGGGATCGTCCATTTTTGTTGGGTAAGTATTAGTTCTTTCATGATGTTTAGCTATAAAATAAGCTTAAGATCATTTATTGTTTACTGCTGAACTTAACAGGCAATCCACCTTCCTAAGCATTCATATTTTGAAATTCGAGGATCACTTAAGTCACAAAACGCCCCTAAATACCCTAGTACGGCCGAGGGGGTGAGAGTCCGCTCTCCTCGAATTGCTCTCACATGGCAACGCGTATACATCGATTGCCAGGGAAGTTCTACTCGCTGCCTTCTCGTGGCATTACTGTTATTTACGAAATCGAGGACGGAAGGTGAATGTCCGGCGCTTTAACCGGGTTGGTGGATATGGAGGATCCGCCTAAAGGAGTTGGAAAACCCTCATTCCATACCATTGCTGTACATGGGCTCCAGCATCTTGAGGGGACAAATGCCGTATGAACCAATTGTTAGTCACCGGCTACCATGGAACTGCATCTCCTGACGTTGTTACACTGTCTTGTAGATTAGACCTTCAGATCAAAGGCTCGGGGTGTGGCCCCATGAAAAAACACCTGCTTTGGTCTGGGCACCCTTGCAGTATCAAAGCCCACACACAAATCAATGACCTGTGTGGCGCATATAAATTCAATGCCCCTTTGTACCAATATTTATTTGGTCAAATAAATAAATAAGTCACAAACTGACATGAAATAAAGAAATACTATGACCTACTAAAAACAAAAAAAACTGTGATTTATATTAGTTTTCACTAGTTTTGTAAGTGATTTCTTCCTATGATGACAATGATCTAAAAAATTAACAAAATTGGCAATAAATCTTTTAAACCAAATTATAGTTTATTTAATGACTGTTCGTGCTTTATGAAACATGATAAGCAGTGGAGTATTATAAATAAGGATTTCGTCTTATAACTGAACCTTCATATGCATTTGACACTCTTAATCATGCATAAATTATAGCTTCATACTCTTCTCGTGAACCACGGAAGTTCAGTTGTGAATTAACTGATGATTTACAAACAGTCAGTAGTTTAGAAACCGACCAGCTTATGCGTTCACTTAAAATGAGAAAGAGATTGTATTATGTCGTTTCTACCAAGCAGTATTCCTTGAATATCATACTTCACTCAACTTCCCCTAAGCCAGAGAGAAAATTGAAATGGGAGAATGTATAAACATGAACAACCGAGACACTGTGGTAAAAACATTAGAGTTGATATGAAATTTATATTATCCAGGATCTCGGTACGTCCACTAAAGCTGATTGATTGAGAATGAAGCACTAAGCATGTTCCGATTTAGGTGTAACCAGAGCGTGCATTAGTTACAATAATAATAATTTTATATATTCTGAAAATAATAATTACAGAATTGACGCCAGTTTACAGGCATGATCAATTTGATATAAATAGTAACATTAGATGTACAGAACAAACACGTGATACAGGAAAGTTTTAAGTATACTAGTTCAGTAGTTGTTTAGGTAGTACATGTATTACAGCGATCCAATGCATCAGCCGGAAGCTTTTACTTTTTCTTAAATGGACAGCCTGTTGATTTATGAACGGTGTAATTAAGGTCATTTCGTGTGCCATATCGAATTAATGATAATTATCTACAACTAGAGAAATTAAAACGAAAACAACAAAGCAGTAATTACCAAAATATGTCAATCAAGTCTACCAAAATGCATGTGTCATGTGACACAGTGATATACTGTTGATGTTATTCAAATTAGTTAAACTTGCTAGGGACGGTGTTAACATAAAGTGATAGCAAGTAGGTGGTTTTACTTAGGGAATGCACTAATAAAAATGGCTAAACATTTATAATTCCTATAATATCACTTGTGGAATGAGATACACTTACAGATGCTAGAACATTCAATGCATTTTCAGAGGAGCAGTATGCATCGATGCAGCGAACAAATAATGGGAGTGATTTTGTCGTACAGATAGATTGTGGTAGGTTATTCCAGAGTCTAGAAAATTTACAGCTAAATTAATTCATATAAAGAGATGGTTTAGAACAAGTTTGTTTCACTAGTGACAAGGAATTACGGATGTCATAATGAGAAGTTTCTGCATATTGGATCACGTGATTGGATGTAAAGGATTGTTTATTAAGTAGTTTGAAGAAAAAGATAAGATTCAGTCTCCTTTTCCATAAAGGGTCTAGCCCAAATTTATTACATCTAGAATTATAAGTTAAGGTACAATCAGCTCCAAGAATACGAAGTGTAAATCGTCTCTGTACTGATTCCAGCCTTAATTTATCCTTTATGCGCGCACTGCTAAGAATAAACGTGCAATATTCTAGAAGAGGTCGAGCACAAACTTTGTACATTAGAATACGTGACTCAGTGTTGTAAAGATTTTGAGTTATGTAACCTATTAGACGTTGAGACTTAGAGGTCTGTTTTAATATATGTTCTGTAAACGACAAGTCTTGGGAATATCTAAGTCCTAAGTCTACTACTGTATGTAACCTAGATAACACTTCTCCATTTATGGCAATGTCTAGGTTGAGTGATGTATCGCCGAAGCATATCCATCCACATTTAGCCGTATTAAGCTCCAGTTGCCATTTTAAGCACCACTGTGCTACCTTTTTAAGCTCCATGCTGATGCAATTTTGCATATTTTTCAGGTCATGTGGAGAAAATGAATATACTACTTTAAGATCATCTGCATGTAGAAGGGGCTTACCCACACAAAAACTTTCACAAATATCATTGATAAATACTAAAAAGAGCAAAGGGCCTAAGACACTATCTTGTATTACACCACTTCTAACAGGGACAGCGTTAGACAATGAGGAGTTAATTTTAACTATTTGATGTCGATTGCCGAGAAAGGAATCAAGCCAAGGAAGCAGAGGATTTTGAACCTCAGGATGCGAGTTTACCTATAAGAAGTTAGTGGCTAACCATGTTGAAGGCTTTAGAAATGTCCAGATATAGCACTAAGACTAGATATCCTTGGCTACGTAGAGAATAGACTAAATTAAAGAAGTCAAAATGAAATGTCATACAAGATCGATTTTTAAGAAATCCATGTTGAGTATCATTGATAAATTTTCCAGCAAGTAAATAGTTGGAAAGTTCATCACTTATAATTTTTTCCATAATCCTAGAGATAACTGGAGTAATGTTTATCGACCGATAATTGTTCATGTCAGTCTTATCTCCAGATTTGAAACGTAGTATAATGTACGCAGTTTTCCAACAGTAAGGGTAAGAACCTATTTCCATATATATAGAGAGAGAGTAAACAGCTTTAGAAGATGAAGTGGAATATCTGGACCACCATATTTGTAGAGAAAGGATGAAATCCCGTCTGCTTCATGACCTCTCGAAAGCTTAAGGGTGTTTATAGCCTTGTTAATTTTCATGCATGTGAAGGAGATCGATTTTATTGAGTTGCTAGTCACGCACATAACTCTTGAAGCAGAGCCATTTATGATTTCTACACCATTCGCAAAAATACCACTGAAAAGGTTTGTTATAGTTTTAGAGTCGTATATAAAAGTGCTATTATGCTGGATGCATGGTATATCAACATTTTGAGTTGCTTTAGCGCGTTTATTGAAAAGGAGAGTTAAGTTTTGTACCTTTGAGTTAGTATTAAGTTAGCATTATATCCTGCTAGCACTTCCCCTTAGAGCATATCCGCAGTATTTAAAGTTTTGATCCATATTTATCAACGTAATTGGTCTACGCTTTCTGTTTGTCAAATTTTTTGGTGGTAAAGACGTAATGTCATTTTTTATGTCAGTCAATCAGCTACAACGTAGGACCAGGCACATATGCGCATCGGTCCAAGCTACCATACCTCATTAACACAACAAGATGAACACCGGATTCATAAAAGTAGTAAGTTCAGAGGTAGTAATATATAAAAGAAAGATTACATATAGAGATATAGTACAGGAAGAAAGAATTAGTTCATAGAAAGAAAGATATGAAGCGATTTTAATCTCTTAGTTTAAGGGAAGACCGAGAGTGTATACACCGACGCCATTGTGATCGATACTGAGCCATGTCACCAAGAGTCTCCAACCATTATTTACGATAGTCACGCGGACTCCAACCAAGTAGTCTGCATGTACCAACATGGCTCAGACTACGAGTTAGTGACTTCAAGCACTGATGCCACGTTTTGGTTTGGCCGCCCCTAACTTTCTTCCAACCATCCTGAACACCGTTCAGCATTGCACGTCGTGGTAATCGGTGTTTAGGCATACGTAACACGTGGCCCAACCATCTCAGTCGATGAAGATTCATAACGTCATCAACTGATTTACCATCATTTCCTAATACCCTGCGTCTAACCTCACTATTAATTAACTGGTGATCCCAGCAGACGCCAGCAATATTTCTAAGGCATCTGTGGTCAAATACTAGTAGCTTACGAGTGTCTTCTACTCTTAATGGCCATGTTTCGCTGCCGTAAATTAAGACAGAACGGACTGCCGCGCAGTATACTCGTCCTTTTATTGATATACGGATATCTAGCCTTCGCCATAGGTGACGTAAGTTGGCAAATGCCAAACGAGCTTTTCGAATCCGTGCTGAGATTTCGTCAGACCTTTTAGATTAGACCTATAGGTCAAGAGCTCAGTGGTTAGCTCCTCAAGAAAACTACCTGAGTTTGGGCACCCGGGAAGCATACTGGCCCTCACACAAATTAAATGATGACTACGATTAAAAAACTATTCACTCTTTAATTCTCGCCCTCGCAAATCATACTCAAAACTATTTGTTAGTATTCTCTTTTATTTTACATTGCATCACTTGTCTATCCTTTTGTTCATCTTTTGTCTATTCCTTTATTCCTTAACTTCTACAGCAATCCGCCTATGGTGGAAACTTTGTCCTATCTAAACGATTTCAAGTCACTGACTGGTTGGAAGTTGAATGCCACCACCGAATACGAATTCTGAACCAGCATTTCTGAAACCACTCATGGCATTCAAACTGACCTACTTCAACGTTCTCACACTTATAGATAGGGTTAGCTAT